GAGAATTGTATTCACTCCCTAGTTTCTAGGATATAAGAATGTAAAGAATAGGATACACTCTATAGTTTCTAGGATATAAGAATATATAAGAATAGGATTCACTCCCTAGTTTCTAGGATATAAGAATATATGAGAATTGGATTCACTACCTAGTTTCTAGGATATAAGAATATATGAGAATTGTATTCACTCCCCAGTTTCTATGATATAAGAATATATAATAATAGGATACACTCTCTAGTTTCTATAGGATATAAGAATATATAGAATAGGATACACTCTCTAGTTTCTAGGATATAAAAATATATAGAATAGGATACACTCTCTAGTTTCTAGGATATAAATACAAGGTTCTCAGAGGCCTGACATATTTTTAAAGTTGATTATTTTCTTGTATTAATCTCCATTATTAACAGTTGCTATTTTCACACAAAAGAAGCGTGAAAATGACGCTTTCAACAAACTATCCTATGTCATCTCCAAATATAAAGTTGTAATGTTTTTTTTGTATATCCGATCATAACTCTTTAACCCCAAGACCGATTTGCCTTAAATTTTGATTGGAACTCGGAATTAATTGATTTTAGAGCTTTTCTAAGAAGATTCCAAGTTTGTTTAATATTCCTCTTGTATTCATAAAATTTATCTTGATAATAATTATTTTGTGCCTTTCGCAAAATAGATCTGTAAATTTGTTTTGTAATTATTGAACTTAATGTTAAATGGCGTAGGATTTTCAATAAATACTCTTTGCCTCTTATTTATTCTTTGTTCTTCTTAAAAGCAACAATGCTTGTGTAATCCATGGTTCAACAGGTGTAACATGTTTAGATTCTTTTCTCTGTATGAGAGGAAAGGACTCAAAATAAAACTCTTTCGAAACTGTTAAATGCCAATTTTGAAACCGGTTTTTGGATAACAGACGACCAATCAGCATTATTTATGTTATCCTTGAAAACCGATATCGTATTATCATTTATTTTATGTTTAAATGTATTTTGTTTTGTTAATATTTTTAAATTTACAATTAGCATTATTTATGTAAAATACAGGATAATAATCTGACAAGGTAGAGTTAAATATTCCGCTTTCTATTAACTTATTTTTTTTATCAGGGGCAGGTTCAGGTACAAGTTTGTACTGTATCGCCCGGACATTGGGTAAATAAAGCAGACACTCAATATGACTAGCTGGTGCAACAAGGTTGACACGGTCAAACTTTAGGTTGAATTTACTTTTACTGAAGGGTCAGAGGTGTGTGTGTTGATATATTGTCTATTAATGAAGATGAATTAGTAATCCTTGATGGCAAAGGGATAAGAGGCAATTGGCCGCAGTTAAAAAGGGTGTCCAAATATTTACTGTTTCTATCATGTCGGTCGTGTATAATAAGGTTTATATTGAAATCTCCCATCAATATAATTTCTTCAGCTTTACTAAGTATAAAGGATCTGCAGAAATGATGCTCAAAATTTCCTTGAGTTTCTGAATGAAAAGATTAATGTTTGCTGCTGGGGATCAATAGATAACCCCAACAACTTTATCTTTAAGAAAAGTGATTCAAAAATTTTCCTCAAAAAATGATATTTATCTGGGGTTTCATATTCATAGATATCTCTTATCCACCAACCTATCCCACCTCCAATATTATTTCTACATTTATCACTAGTTTTTCTTGTTTTGAATATGAGAGGTTTATACCCAGGTAAATATCTGTATTCAGGTTGACAGGAATATTCCAAGTTTCCTGAATCAAAATTTTGGAAAACATAAATTCTTTTTAATTCAATTCATTTATCAATTCATGGAATTCATTTAATTTCCAAGTTTAGCTTCGAATATTTAAAGAGAGAGATGAGAATTGATTTGAGTGATTTTTAAACTTTTTTTTAAATTTATGATTTTAATATTTACTTGATATTCTAGAATAACTATTCAATGTTTCTAACTCTCTCAATGTAGTTATAAAATTCTGATTCTGGTCACCCTGCAATCTAGTTGTAATTGTATTATTCATATCTTACATTGGATACAAGTGCTAAGTGAATAAATTACACCTGGTTGGAGGAATAAATTACACCTGGTGTCCCCACTAGCTTGGTCTAGCTGGGGGAATAAATTACATCTGGTGTCCCCACTAGCTTGGTCTAGCTGGGGGAATAAATTACACCTGGTGTCCCCACTAGGTTGGTCTAGCTGGGGGAATAAATTACACCTGGTATCTCCACTAGCTTGGTCTAGCTGGGGGAATAAATTACACCTGGTATCCCCATTAGGTTGGTCTGGCTGGGGGAATAAATTACACCTCGTATCTCTACTGGGTTGGTCTAGCTGGGGGAATAAAGTACACCTGGTATCCCCATTAGGTTGGTCTGGCTGGGGTAATAAATTACACCTGGTTTCCCCACTGGGTTGGTCTAGCTGGGGGAATAAATCACATCTGGTGTCCCCACTAGCTTGGTCTAGCTAGGGGAATAAATCACATCTGGTGTCCCCACTAGCTTGGTCTAGCTGGGGGAATAAATTACATCTGGTGTCCCCACTAGCTTGGTCTAGCTGGGGGAATAAATTACTTCTGGTGTCCCCACTATCTTAGTCTAGCTGGGGGAATAAATTACATCTGGTGTCCCCACTATCTTGGTCTAGCTGGGGGAATAAATTACACCTGGTATCTCCACTAGCTTGGTCTAGCTGGGGGAATTAAATACGTCTGGTGTCTACTACACTAGGTTGGTCTAGCTGGTGGAATAAATTACATCTGGTGTCTACATAAAATACATCTGGTGTCTCCTCTGGCTTGGTCTAGCTGGGCCGGGGGAATTACCTACATCAGGTGTCTCCACTGGTTTTGCCTAGTTGGGGGTATAAACTACAACTGGTGTCTCCACTAGATTTGTCTAGCTGGGGGAATAAATTACATCTGGTGATATTTTTTACAGAACTTTCCTATTCTAACTATAATTAGAAACATGTAAGTACTTTTTTTTATAAAAACATCAATGGCTGGGCACGTTCCAACTTTTTCATGCCTTTTCGTTAACAGTTAGTTCCAACCGTTGATCTCAATATTATTAACGACGTTAACGACAGGTATTTTAGAAACTATTAACGATGTCAGGTGTTCATAAGCTGAAATTAATTATTTCATGTAAAAATAGCTAAAAAAATATTTTTAGACAATATTCAAAAACATCAAAACACGTAACAAAAGTGCATAAAATTCTATAATTAATCAATTCAGCGGGGGAAAAAATCATAAGAAAGCATAAAAATACATTAGACAAATTTAAACAGATAAGTCGTCGTTATTATAAAAACACATTCGTTTCGGGGTTTTTTTTAAACCGCTATCTCCGTTTGTTAACAATGTCAAACTTAACGGTTTTTGCTGTTCGTTAACAGACTCTTCCGTTTAGTTTCAAAAACCTCCGTTTCGTTACCCAAATTTGTCCAACCCTATATTACAGTTTATATCTAAATTTATATCAAAACAAAACAAGAAACATTATCAAACCATAGAGTCTGTGTTTAATTTTCAGTTCAACTTAATTTCTTTTTATATAAATTTGATACAAGTTCATGACATGGAAATTTCAATTTTATTTTGTTTCGAAACATATAAAATAAATCAAGAATTGACGTTCATTCACGATTGAGTGCGTAAAGAGAAAACACCCTTTATGTTATATTTACAATATCTTTGATCGATCTGGGATAGGTCCTTCACCATTGTCTTTATCATAACATTATTATTACATCAGCGTTTTAACATTTTCTTGTTTTTGTCATTTCTTTGATTTGAATCATCAGCTATATTTTTCAATCATTATATTTAATATATCATTATTTAATCAGAACACTGTTGTGTTATCAATTGTTATATCATATTGTCATTATCATTATCTTCGTATCTTTATCTTTATCTTTATCATTATCTTCGTATCTTTATGTTTATCTTTATCTTTATCTTTATCTTTATCTTTATCTTTATCTTTATCTTTATTTTTATCTTTATCTTTATCTGTATAATCTTTACCTTTATCTTTATCGTTATCTTTACCTTTATCTTTATCTTTATCTTTATCTTTATCTTTATCTTTATCTTTATCTTTATAATCTTTACCTTTATCTTTATCTTTATCTTTATCTTTATCTCTATCTTTATCTTTATCTTTATCTTTATCTTTATCTTTATCTTTATCTTTATCTTTATCTTTATCTTTATCTTTAACTTTATCTTTATCTTTATCTTTATCTTTATCTTCATCATTATCTTTATCTTTATCTTCATCAATATCTTTATTTTTATTTTTACCATGGTGTTTAGTTTGAAAAAAAAATATTTACTTTAACCACTCCCATATGGAGCTGACAGAAGGTGTAAAAAATACATGATTTTTCTCCTTTTTCTAAATATTTGATAATCCAAAAACAAAAAAAATCGTCAAATAAAGTTTTAACCAAGTTAAAGGATTTCCAAAATTGTATCACTCTTTAAAAAGATTAAAAAAGCCCAAAAATGGCGGGAAAACAGTAAAATGGCTGGGCCATCTAGGAAAATTATTTCAAAATGCTAAAATTTTGTATTTGAGTTTTGCCCTAATGCAATTTCTAAAAATTATGTCGCACATCTGGGAATTTTTTCAGGGGCACCCTAAGGATCTTCAGTAAGAAAACTTATGTTTGAAAACAAGGATGATCTACCTTGCAATTTAATTTGATTTGACGTGTCAAGCAATTACAAGTCTGATGGTTGCAAGCTAGGGTTATAAGTAATATTATTACTTAAACCCTAGCTTGTTTATAGGCCGGCAGTGTAAGGGTTAAATCAGGGTTAATATTAAACTTTAACTTTAAGTTTATAAACAAACGAATTTGAACTAAGTATAAAAATTTAATGAATTATTTTTTCTCCTTTTCCTACTAGTTCGTCAACAACCCCTGTTTTTTTCACCTGTGTGTCTATCTATCTATCTATCTATCTATCTATCTATTTGTCTTATCTTCAGTCTGACTCTGAATGACTACTCTTTGACCGGCACATGTCGTGCGACATTCTAGACTACTGTAGACAGCGAAGACAAATCAGCGACACGCTGTGCCATTTATACATAAACTTAATGCTACAGCTGTGCAATTTTATATAACTGTACAGAAAATTAGGAGTTGGTACGTGACAAGAGTTAAGTTTTTAGCCTGCTTGGTGGGACGGATTGACCGAAATGTCGATAAAAGGATGGAACTCAGTGACGAGTCAGGATCTCAACTCATGGTTCAACCCTCAGAGAGATCTCGTCATTCAGAGATTCGAGACGGATGATTGGGATGAAACTAGGGAGGATGAGAGTATTTATAAGCTCGAAGATTGGATGAACGAAATGGATGGTGTGGATGGGATGACTGGGATGAGTATGAAGGATATGGATGGACTAAAGAAGGATCTCCTTGACAGACCAATGTTCAACAATGATATCGATATCACAACCTCGACAACAACTTCAACAGGTAGAGCATACCAAATTATCGATTAGCTTCCCCCCCCCCGCTCTAATAAAGATGCACATGTTCAGCTTTAATGATATAAACAGGTTAAGTTATATTAGGTGATTTCCCGGCTTAGTTATGTTATGCGGCTAGGAAAGGAAATAGGACTAACTACTAACTAGGGATGTATTCTGTGCTGCACAATTTTGATTTTTTTTGGGGGGGGGTAGGGGCGTACAGATGATAACTTAGAGAAATGCCTGTTAATTAAATATTAATTCTTTATTATAGCTTTTATTTATTTACGGTTTGAAGTGTTTATTCTGAAAAAGGCATTGCATAAAAATCTCTTTTTTAGAAAATCCTGTGACTCCTTCATCTGTGATGAGTAACGACTCTCTGACCTTCTTTCTGGTGTACTGCTCCATATTCACCCTCACCATCCTCTACATCGGCGTTAAATTATCTAAAAACTGGCGGAAGCGGCGGTTACTCCTTGAAACACTCGCCGAGGAAGACCCCCCGGTCCAGGGCCGCTGCAACCACGCGATCTGCCGCCAGGCCCAGGAGGTTAACCATCTTCTTCCTTACACAAGCTTCGGAGCCATGCTTCTCCCAGGTCTGATGAATATTGAGACTGGTAGACCAGGGAGTGTAGCTGGACCTCTACACAACACTATCAGTTGTAATAACAGCTGTGAAAACTGTCAGAAACTATCACTACCTCCTCCAAGCTATACCAAGCTGTTCTTGGATGAAACACCCCCTTCGTATACAGATGCAGTTACCATGGGACCTAGGGATGCTCTAAATATCGCGTTTATTGAAACTTCTGAGATTAATGAAACTGCCTCGACACCTTTTCTTGTCAGGGTTACAGAGTTGCAGGAAAATTCAGCCGAACTTGTTACTGAAGCTGTTACTGAACCAGTAGCAGAGCCTCAGGCTGAATCAACAAATGAAACTAATTCTACAGCTGAATCTGGAACTGAATCAACAAATGAAACTAATTCTACAGCTGAATCTGGAACTGAATTAAGAAATGGAACTAATTCTACTGCTGAATCTGGAACTGAATTAACAAATGAAACCGAAGTTAAAAATATTTGTGGAGCTGAATCAATAAACAGAAGAGAAATTGTTAAACCCAGATCTGAATCAGTAGAAGAACCCGCCGTAGGAACTACATCTAAAAGTAATCCCACAGTTGAACCAGCAACCGAGTCTAGCATGGAACTTGAACCGGGAAAAGAGTTTAAACCAGATCCCATGACGGAAATTGAACCAGATTTAAATGGGAAATGAACAAGAAACCGGAAACCGGGATCCTGCATTATTATCAAACTAATAATATATTACTTGACCTTTTGCACACTGTTGCCACATTAATTGTAAATATTTTTCAGTGTACAATATTACAAATACAAATTTCAAATATGTTAATTATTTTATTATTCACGATTCAATGAAAAAATGGTTTTAATCAGTGGTGCACGAAGGGGTGGGGACTGGGTGCACGCATGCCCACGTACAAGGGGGTCTCGTTTATGAAATGATTGTATATGATGTGGGGAAAAAATGAAAAAAATGGTTTTATAAAAGGCGACTTAATTCATCCTTGAATATTTTATGGCGCTCCGCGGGAACAAATAACAAAAAAGTTCAGTAATAAAAAACAAGTAAGAAAAATTGGTCATTATAAGGCAAATTTTTATCCCTTTATTACAATTCATCCCCAAATATTCAGCAAATAAACCCTATACATCTTTTTGCTGCTCCGTGCAAACGTATCTGATTTCTGAGGGAAAAAATTACGTTTGAAAGTGGAAAGGTTTTTCAAGAAAGGAACTACGTTTTTAGCATAAACTCAAATTTTCTAATCCCGATTTCTTTGAAACCTGAAGGTGTAAACCTTATTTTAAACTTCGGCTTTTCACAGTTAATAGAACTCATAATTTGAACAAAAATCTACGATAGATTTGCACGATAGTTTTGTGTAAAATCTCATTTCCTTTAGAACTCTGATATATAATTAACAAATATATGTTCTTAACCAAGCAAAGACTAAATATGAAAGATATATATGGTACTTTATATAAAGATAAAAAACTAATCAGTGATTTTGTCAAAATAGGGGTTTTAAGGGGGCACCAAATATTCTAGGAGTGCACAAAGAAATTTCGGCGCGCGCATAAGGTGCCCGCCCCCCCCCCCCCCTACACGCTCCTAGTTTTATTTGAATATTTGAAGTTGTTTGTTTAAAGGGACAGACCGGCTATATAAGGTATAGTGTAACTGAGAATGCAGTGTTGTGGACAAATTCTTTAGGATTCACTTGAGACATATAACACTTTTTAAAGATCTGTAAATTCCGAGCTTGAGCGCAAAGTCGACGTTCAAAATTTTACTTTTGGGTGAATACGTTTTCAGAATTTTTTTTTTAATTATTAAATAACGACGATAAAAAATGTAAACAAAATTCTACAATAAACTTATTAGTTCTTCAGGAACAGGTTGAGAAAATAAAAATTAATTTTATCATTGAAAATAAGTAATCTTGTTCAACTATTAATTTCTATCTTCTCATTATTCTAGTTTCTCGTTATTCAAGATTTTCTGCAGATTTTCTGAATTCATTATTGAAAAGACGCCTTTTCAAGAATTTGAAGAATTCTGCGAATAAATTCAAAGAAAACAAGAAATCCAATATAATGATGAAAACGAAATAATTGATTTTAGAATTGATTCATTGACAAATTTCTCATGGGAAATATGTTCCTAACCATCAAATTAGATTACTGTATAATTTTTACTTTATTTTTCGTTGTCGTTATTTAGTAATTTTAAAAAACCGATTCTGAAAACGTTTCCACCCCAAAAGTACGATTTTGAACGTCGACTTTGCGCTCAAACTCAGGATTTACAGATCTTTAAAAAGTTTTATATGTCTCAAATAAATCCTAAAGAATTTGTCCACAACACTTCATACTCATTTCAATTACCTTACATAGCCGGTCTGTCCCTTTAACAGGGTTAATGATAACTTGAGAGTTGAGGAAACTGCTGGTTATCTCTGTTGGGTAATAAAATACTCAGCGAAAATTGCTTTTCAAAACGTTGAATTTTAGGAAAAATGTTCGTGAAAACAAAACATTTTACCGAAGTGGGTTTCTCTGTCTTTTTAAAATCCTCAGTTCCCTGATAATATTCTTTTGCTCTTCATAAAAAAAACTGTTCATATGGTCAGAAAACGTAACTTACTGAAATACTCTAGGACACCCTGTACTGCTCTAGGAACCCTGGAGTACACTAGGACTTCCTATATTACTCTAGGTCAGGACACCCTATAGTACTCTAGGACACCCAATAATACTAAAGGACACCCTGTAGTACTCTAGGACACCCTATATTACTCGCGGACACCCTATATTACTCTAGGACACCCTATGTTACTCTAGGACACTCTATAGTAATATAGGACACCCTGTAGTCTTCTAGGACACTCTATATTACGTTAGAACACCCTGTAGTTCTCTAGGAAACCTTTTGTTACGCTAGGACACTTTTTATCTATCTAGGACACCCTGTAGTATTATAGGACACCCTATATTACTCTAGAAGTTCCTATAGTAATCTAGGACACCCTTTATTACTCTAGGACACCTTGTAGTATTCTAGGACACCCTATTTTACTCTAGGACACCCTGTAGTATTCTAGAACACACTATATTACTCTAGGGCATCCTATAGTACTCTAGGACACCCTGTAGTATTCTAGGACACCCTTCATTAAAGTAGGACACCTTGTAGTGTTCTAGGACACCCTGTAGGCTGTAGTACTCTAGGACACCCTATAATCCTCTAGGACACCCTGTAGTATTTTGTGACACCCTTTATTAATCTAGAACCCATTGTAGTATTTTAGGACACCCTATATTAATCTAGAACACCCTTTTGTATTCTATGAAAACCCTATATTACTCTAGGACACCCTGTAGTATTCTACGACATCTTGTAGTTTATATAAAAAATGTCCCTAAATTATTGATTTCTGACTGAAGTTGAGTTGATTAGTCTATGTTTAGGAATTGTTGTAGTTCCTTCCCAAGTTTTATCAATACAATACAAGAAGCAAGGCCAGGGTTCTCTAGTTGTATATTTATATCCTGCCAGGATTACAGGATTACCATATCAAAGTTTAATAGTGAGACTATAAAAAACTAAATGAAAGAGTCAAATAAAAGACTATAATCTCACAAGAAGGAGACGATTCATTTGTTGTACTATCCCGTTCTGCCATGCATATTGCATAATCTGTATTCATATTATACAACTCAAAGATGCTTTATGTACATTAGCAACGTCTTTGGTACAAATTATTCCAGCACTGTTTAAAAGTCTCTCCGGTACTTTGATTGCATTTATAATTGCATTTTTTGTCGATAATATGGGTAATTTTTAATAATTGAGTTCGTATGAGTTCAAAATTGTTGTTGATGATTGACTAACCTCCATTTTTGGAAAATATATTAACATTTCATTTTTTGTCGTTAATATGGCTAATTTTCTATTAATTGAGTTCGTATGATTTAAAAATTGATGTTGATGACGGACCAAACCTCCATTTTTGGAAAATATATTTACATTTCATTTTTTGTCGTTAATATGGCTAATTTTCTATTAATTGAGTTCGATTGATTTAAAAATTGATGTTGATGACGGACCAAACCTCCATTTTTGGAAAATATATTTACACTTCATTTTTTGTCGTTAATATGGTTAATTAATAATAATTGAGTTCGATTGATTTAAAAATTGATGTTGATGACGGACCAAACTCCATTTTTGGAAAATATAGTTTGGTCCGGATTAACCATCGTCAGTTCTTCAGATTGATTCTGTTTTGAAGTTTTATATGATTTACCAAAGAAAGAAACAAATATGTAGATGCACAAGAACATAATATTAAATGAAATAAAAACTTTTTTATTTAATCTTTTGTACGGGTAACCTTTCAAAACCTTTATCATTGTGTTATAAATTACGAACAAAATAATAAGGATATAAAAGTTTCTTTGTAATTTCGCATAATCCTTCCGGGTATCAGCGGAATAAAATTCGAATAAAAAATTATACTTTCTTTTGAATAAAATTGAAAGAAGTAATACTTTTCTACATACCAAAATTTCATTAAAAATCAAAAGCGAAAATCTGCACCAAATCGTACAACTAAAAACATCCAACATGAATATTCGGTCCCCAGTGAATTACTTTTTAGATATCAATTATTCAAATAAAATGGTGGGGGAGCCTGTTCTAATGCACATACCTTTACCGTCAAGACAAACAAAACTAGAGTAAGATCTATAATTTTTACTTAAGACTTTATTCATAGAAATATTTGTATTACTTTATAGCTGACGTAATTATTTTACTGGGCAATGGGATTTGTAATTGGGTTTTTTCTTCATGAAAATTTATATTTTTTGGGAGAAAAAAAATATTTTTGAATTCAATATAATTAGTTTTAAAACCGTGTCCATTATTATATGATTGATGTCATCTAATTTTTCTATCTTTTTTTTAATTTTCCAATTTCTTCTAAAATTCACTAAACTGTAAAATCTTTTATTCTTTTTTTATATATTGTTTAATCTTTACTGCAGAAAAATATATGATCTGCCACTAAAACGTCAGTGCCAGGTTTGGGCAAAAATGATTTAACGATTTTAAAAGTTTTCTTGTGTCCTGAGAACATTTCGCTTAATTTCAAACGACTGTAAACGTAATTTTAAGTGAGCCTCGTTTACGTAGGTTTGAAAGTATTTAATTCTGATATTTTCTTTATGTTTACTGCAGCAGAATATACGCAAGTATTTGAAAATTAAAAAAATTTGAAATTTTTAGATTCAAATTATAAACATTACTATAATTTAATTCATACGTACTTGATTGGACAAAGCTTTAAAGGGTACCGTTGTGAATCGGACATTGACATCTTTGAGTGGAGATTGATTTAAAATTACACTTACATGTCCCTTTAAGCTATAGAGCATGATGAGAAGTATAAATACAATTATTCATTTCTTTTCTAATATTCAAACTATAAGAAATCCTTAGATAAAAAAGTGTAATCTATACAAATTTGACATACTTTCCGGTTTGCCTTACTTAGGTGATCTGCAATTGTACTGTACAGCTGCTCTAGCTGGTCAAAAGTCAACCCAATACTTGAAATGAACCGGAATATACAGTATATACAGTATATACAGTATATACAGTATATACAGGGTAATTTTTTTCTTATTTGTCGTATCTTCTTATACTAGTTAACCTAGGTCTCAACAACAACATCAACAGCATCAACAACAGAAACATCAACAACATCAACATCAGCAACATCAACAACAACAACCCGGGAGAAGAAGCAGAAGTGAAAGCCGAACAGGTTCTGCAGGATTTTAAGTATTAAATTAAGTGACGGTGGAAAAATAAATAGTAAAAAAGTAACTTTATTTCCTTTAATCAATTTGAAAATAAAATCCTATAATATAGCGCTTTTTTCCGGCTCTGAGATTAATCAAATTTCAAGGTTTCGTATCCACAAAAACGGATGGAAAATGTAACAAACAGTGTAACAAGGGCCGGTTCTAGATAAATACTGTTTAATAACCGGTGTTTTAAAACCATTTTATACGCTTCTGAGTTCTTTTTACCGAATCCATTCCATAGTGTATAATTTTATATTTATTACTATCCTCGAAATAAGTTCATGATACATTACTACGTAAACCAAAAGAAATCATCTGACCTACGTAAGCCAGGAATCACTCTCCGCTAAAACCCACTATTTATTCGGTCAGACCTTATCTCTAAAAGAAACTAGAACCCAGACACTTCAGTTTTTTTTCTGTGGATTTTGCGAAAAGAATTCGTTTTTTAGAAAAAAAAATTCCTAATCGTTTACCAAAAAGTGTATGATTACTTCAATTAAAATTTGCTTGGTTTAATTTTAAAATCCATAATATTTCATTTATACATTTTCATTTTCAAATGGGTGAGCAATCTTTCAGGTCTGCTGAGTAGTCGGCTAGAGAGTCAGGTGGAGAGAGAGAGAAAAGTAAAGATAGAACGGGAGAACCAACTTCTCCTCAAGTAAGGACATTAATGGGAACATCACAATATTTAAAAGGAGGGTAGAATAAACCAATTTTAGATAATCAGTAAACCATCTTCAAACTAATTTAATCGAAGATTAGCCTGTTTTTTGGCAAACAATCAAAATAATTTTTAATGGATTTTGAAACTGTTAAAATTGTACCAGTTTAATCCTAAATGAATTGTTAAAATAGTATTTAATCGACCTTAATTTAGGTTGGTTAATTTAAATTGGTTAATTTAGGTTGGTTAATTTAGATTGGTTAATTTAGGTTGGTTAATTTAGGTTGGTTAATTTAGGTTGGTTAATTTAGGTTGGTTAATTTAAGGTTGGTTAATTTAGGTTGGTTAATTTATGTTGGTTAATTTAGGTTGGTTAATTTAGGTTGGTTCCTCTCGATGCCCTCCAATGTACTAAAAATGTCATCTCCTTTAAGATAAAACCTCATATGACGTCACTCTCGCCTCTATAATCAGTGAAGTCATGAGGTTTTTATCTATCTGTCTTAGGAGACGACATTTTCCGTACATTGGAGCGCATCGAGAGTAACCTAACTCATTATACAACCTTTGCTCCAACCAAATAAACCAGAGGCCGAATTTAAAGAATTTGAGCCACGGCTTGAATTTAAGCCGCGGCTAAAATATGGTTGTTTCCACTGAAAATCGTATTCATTGTTTCAAGACTTAAGCTGGCGCCCAATTGAAGCCGGCTTTTGGCGGATTTTAGACGCGGCTTAAATTCATTAAATTCGGACACTGGACTGTTTGTTCTCTGGAATGAATACTAAATAGCACCCCTAATTGAGTAATTACCCTTTATAAAGAAATCAACTAATAAAACCATAAAGATAAGTTTCTAATCTCTGATTATTTTCAGGAAAATTCTAGACTGTCATCATGGAGTGGATAGAAGACGAACTTCAAGTATACCTCCTCCTCCTTCTAAAGCACCTAGAGCTCCTAGAGGTAACTAGAGTTCCTAGAGATTACTAGATATCTCAGAGCTCAATCGAATCCTTAATAAAATCTTTCTCTGCACCTCAAAAAAATCAAACTCAAGAATTAATTGAACTCAGAATCAGATATAGGTCTCTACACTCAAAGAATCCTTTTAGAAAGGAATCTTTGAAGTTTATAGAAGCTTCTTGACGGAACCAAATCTCTTAGGATAAAATAATTCTATTGAAAATGGATCTCTAACACTCTGATCTCTTAAGCTTAAAGAGATACTGAAATAGAAACTTATTAACGAACCCTGATAGAAATTGATCTCTGAGGCTGTATAGTCCTATTAGAAACTGATCTCTTCAGATCAACGAATCCTATAATAGATATACTTATCTCTGAAGATCAAATGATCCATTTTAGAAATTGATCTCTGAAGCTAGCTTTATAGTCAAATTATAAACTGATCTCTTCAGATCAACGAATCCTGTAATAGATACTTATCTCTGGAGATCAAATAATTCATTTTAGAAATTGATTACTAGAGATAATTAATTTAAAATTAATGTCTAAAGTTTAGAGGAGTTATATTCAGATATTATCTCCAAAGCTTTAAATGACAAAAACTGTGCAGGTCGCCGCTGTTTTTCTCCAATTAAAACATCAAACCAGGTCAAATTTTAACAATTAATAAATAATGAAAAACGTCATAGATACTACAGTGATTACAAAAAAAAACCAGTGGAATAGGAAGACGACTTTACAGCAATACTTAAGTGTATTTGATGTTTTTGCAAAGCAAATAGTTTTACTAAACACCTATTAAATAACTAATTAACTTAAATGGGTCTGTGTCCACTGTTCACTTGCTTTGTTGCTCATAGAAGTATTTCAAGTCATAACTTGAGTATAAAAGTCGTCTTCTATTCCGGAGTTTTCTGGTTATCACTGTAATAAATTGAAGTAATGAATTGAATAGAAAATATAAACACTAAAAAGTTGAACAACAGAATATATTTAATTGAAAACAAACTTAAAAATAAAAAAAAAATTCAATGTTAGAATATATGTATTTCAATAAATAGAAAATCTAAAAAATTCAATGATTTCGTTTAATAGAAAATGGTTAAAAATTATAAATTATACACTCATGTATTTTAATAAAATGTCTAAAAATGAGACCAAAATGGATTTCAAGATAGAAACTGCACAATTGCAAAAAAATGTAATAAATTAACAACTCCTATGGCTTAACTTAATGAATTTGAGCTACGTCGCTAAACTCCTGCGGGTTCAAATTTAAACCACCGATTCAAAGTTAAAGATTACGCTTGGATTTGAATCGGTGGATCAAATTTGAACTGGAGCATGGCGGTCATGGTAGGCAGTTCAAATTCATTAAATTCGGTCCCAGGGACACCAACAACAAAAGATAATATTTTAAGGACGACCTAAATCCTAATATAACGATTTAAAGGTTGATTTTGTCTTTTGCGCTTAATAATAGTTTTTTATTTACAATTTGGCAAAGAAAAAAACAATATTACAGTTGCAGGAAATCTATCACTCTCCACTATAAGACAAACTTTTTTTTCTCCGGTCAGAGTAAGCAGTAAGCACCGTAAGCTTAGTTAAGAGTGCTCTAAATGTATAAAAAAAAGACTTTCGAAAGAGTTATCCCTTGTTGGTAATTCTTATAAATAAATATATATAGAAGCTGCGTTTTTGCCACAAAATCAAATTTTCTCTTCCCTATGTCTTAGTAACATGTTCGTGTAGATAGATTGCAAAGATATAGGGATTAGAAAATCAGAGTTTATGGCAATATCTCATATTCCTTTGAAGGTGAACGAAGCAAGAAGAAGAGAAAAGAGCGATTATGAAAATCTAATTTTACTTCAAAAAATACAAAATGTAAAACCTTCGAGGCTTGTTCAAAAATCATTTCAATAAACTATACTTTGATGTTTCAATAAACTATACTTTGATGTTCCAATAAACTATACTTTGATGTTCCAATAAACTATTCTTTGAACTATACTTTGATGTTCCAATAAACTATACTTTGATGTTCCAATAAACTATACTTTGATGTTCCAATAAACTATACTTTGATGTTCCAATAAACTATAACTTTGATGCTCCAAAATTTTAGATCTGAGGTTATACTTGTAATAAAATACTGTTCACTGTAAATGTTTAAAGGAATCTAAAGGTCTGGTTTCTAACCCTGAAATCTTTTCAACCCGATGACGTAGACCTTTGATATTTCAAACTATGAATTCTGTTAGATCAGGCTGCAGAGATTAGAAAATTTGTTTTTGAGAAAAACTCCTTTATGTTAGAACTCAAAATTTGGTTTCATAATCTTTCTAAATATTAAACAAAATAATATTAAAATCCCTGCAGTGAAATTTACTATTTTAAGTCATATTGATAATAAAATTTACATTCAAACTTTATTTAAACATCATCTTTATGTATCTATATTATTAGATATTAGCAAAAATAAATTAAAAATCCTAATTCAATTCTTCTGTTATCTATTTTAAAAGTTCACAGGGTTTTCAACAATATGATAGTTGATAGAACACATTAAAATCGTGTATGAACTTTTACAACAAATTAATAACAAGAGGATAGGAAAAAGTTATAAGAAATAAGTTGTCATAAAACTTGGATTCATTAGCGAAAATTTTTTCAAGAACTTTTTTTTAAATCTAAGCTTTTTTAAAACGATAGTTTTTTAAAAGTTCAAAAATAGAGGTTCGTTTTCAAAAAAGATCGTTTTTTTCTAAGAACGAAACAATCGTTTTTTTTTAAAGATAACCAAACCAAGGTTATAATGCAAGAAAAGTTATTTAAAAGGTGTACGCATCTTTTGTACTCCAGTGTACTGTTTCTGGGCGGTAATTAAACACAAGACGGATGTCACAGCCTGACATAGGATCCATCTTTCACATACAAAATCAATGAAATATTCTGGTCATAGGAACGCAACTGCAATTAACTTTAATTGTATTATAACCTTGAACCAAACGAAAAAATATCGTTTTATTTCGATCGTTTTTAAAAACAATTTACAACCCAACTTCTGACAGAGTCATCCGTTTTGGATCATATAGCACGTAGAACTAACTGTCTGTAGCAATAAACTCGTCACATTATTTTTACTTCTAATTAATTCTAAAACTTTGAAAAAGGGGTAAAAACTTCTTTTACTTCAATATCAAAACTCCATAATTCAACGAAAACGTATGAAATCGCAAATACGAAAAATCTGCTCTTTTAACGGTTTAAATTGGGTTTAAAAGTTACTGCTTTTACCAGGACTCCTCATTTATTGTGAGTAATGAAAGCTGACTATGGATCAAAAAAGAACCCAGAATCCTGTTTTTTTTTCTTAATATTTTGTAGAGCTTCTTAAAAGCCTAAAATTTTAAAAACGAATCAATTGAGATTTCTGTCGGAATAAATATACATATATGAAATCAACCAAGTTATGAAATCGACGAGGTTATATTTGAAATAAACGAGGTTATATTTTCAATAAGGTTATATATGAAATCAACAAAGTTATGAAATCAACGAGGTTATATTTGAAATCAACAAGGTTATGTATGAAATCAACCAAGTTATGAAATCAACGAGGTTATATTAAAAAAACGAGGTTATATTTTCAATGAGGTAATATATGAAATCAACAAAGTTATGAAATCAACGAGGTTATATTTGAAATCAACGAGGTTATGTATGAAATCAACCAAGTTATGAAATCAACGAGGTTATATTTGAAATAAACGAGGTTATATTTTCAATGAGGTAATATATGAAATCAACAAAGTTATGAAATCAACGAGGTTATATTTGGAATCAACGAGGTTATGTATGAAATCAACCAAGTTATGAAATCAACGAGGTTATATTTGAAATAAACGAGGTTATATTTTCAATGAGGTTATATATGAAATCAACATAGTTATGAAATCAACAGGGTTATATTTGAAATCAACCATCATAAATTTGAAATCAACGAGGTTTTATATGAAATTAACGAGGTTATATTAGAAATTAACGAGGTTATATTTATGAAATTAACGAGGTTATATTTATGAAATCAACGAGGTTATATATGAAATCAATCAGGTTATATCTAAAATCAACGAGGTTATATATGAAATCGATCAGGTTATATTTAAAATCCATTAAAGAAAAGACCTTGTGGTAAATGTCTGCTTTATTCATGCAAGAACAATATTTCTGAGCATTATTACTGTACAAAAATAGATAAAAAATTTAAACTATTCAAATTCAAGGAGGCTACACAATATACAATAAGTACATTTTTAAGGGGAGAAGGACAAACATTAACACGTAGCGGGGGGGGGGAGGACTACTACTCTAAGTATATGTATTGGGGGGCGACTAAACATTTGTTGTAGTTTTTATGAATTCAATCAAATCTTTTCTTTGTTCCTCCTTACTCACTCCAGGAATCTGAAAATGTTTAAAATTGAAAATAAAATTTCAGGATGTTTTGTTAAAATATAGTGAATACTTTTAAATTAAGTAAACAGTCACCAAATCACTTTTGTCTCAAAAACTTTTTATTAAATATTTTTGACCAACAAACGCGTTTATTCTGTTTTTGGTAATAAACTACCAGAGGCCGAATTTAAAGAATTTGAGCCGCGGCTTAAATTTAAGCCGGGACTCAAATACATGGTTGTGGTTGGTTCCACTTAAAATTGTATTCAATTTTTTAAGATTTAAGCCGGCGCTCAATTGAATCCGGTTTTTGGTAGATTTAAGCCGCGGATCAAATTCATTAAATTCGGACTCAGGATCTTCTATTAATTGTTGTTTAATCTTTAGCCCTTTTCTCTTTGATAAATCTTTGCGGATTTAGAATTTTTAGTAGATTTTCAAAAGTTTCTGAAGATCAAAATTTTTTGGAGAAAATGTTTTGTAATTCTGAGCATTCTTACACCTTTCCTGGGATCATGTGAGGTCCCACAAAAATGTGGTCCAATCGGTTTAGCCATTTTGATGTTTATCGGTTACAAAACAAACACACATGACAAGCAAAGTATGTACTTAGGCTTTTATTCGCGCCCATCTTCCATTTCGCGGATTTTATGAAAAAAACGTGGATTTTCAATATTTTCAAAAATCGAATTTTATTAGATACAAATTTCTGAAAATTCGATCATCTATGGTCCCAAAGTCATGTAAGGTTCCATAAAAAAAAATTGGGCCGATCGGAGCCGTTTTTTCGTTTACTGGATACAAACACCAAGACAAGCAAAGTATGTATATAGAAGTAAAGTTATACGCGACACTTTTCTATTGAAATTTATATTTAATAAGAAAAATGTATAATTTTTTTTTCATTCATGTAACATTTTTAAACTAAAACTGTTTTTTACCTTCTTCTTAGATCCAGGAATAGTTTCTTTGAAGTTTTCTAGATACATATTCAAATTAGATTCAGTCCATTGGAGTCCACTATTCTAAACATATTCAGATTATATTTAGTCCATTGGAGTCCACTATTCTAAACATATTCAGATTGGATTCAGTCCATTGGAGTCCACTATAATTATATATATTCAGATTGGATTCAGTCCATTGGAGTCCACTATTCTAAACATATTCAGATTGGATTCAGTCCATTGGAGTCCACTATTAAGGTTAGATTTAGTCCATTGGAGTCCACTATTCTAAACATATTCAGATTGGATTCAGTCCATTGGAGTCCACTATAATTATATATATTCAGATTGGATTCAGTCCATTGGAGTCCATTGGAGTCCACTATTCTAAACATATTCAGATTGGATTCAGTCCATTGGAGTCCAATATTCTAAACCTATTCAGGTTAGATTTAGTCCATTGGAGTCCACTATTCTAAACATATTCAGATTGGTTTCAGTCCATTGGAGTCCAATATTCTAAACATATTCAGATTGGTTTCAGTCCATTGCAGTCCACTATTCTAAACATATTCAGATTGGATTCAGTGCATTGGAGTCTTCTATTCTAAACATATTCAGATTGGATTCAGTCCATTGGAGTCCACTGTTCTAAACATATTCAGATTGGATTCAGTCCATTGGAGTCCAATATTCTAAACCTATTCAGGTTAGATTTAGTCCATTGGAGTCCAATATTCTAAACATATACAGATTATATAAAGTCCATTGGAGTCCAATACTCTAAACATATTTAGATTAGATAAAGTCCACTTTGTATACAATAAAATCTTTTAATTCAAAGGAATTTCAATAAAACTTGCAACTTGCAAGCTCTCAAGCTCTCATGCAAAAATCAATAAGAATTTCGCCAATCACTTTTTGAACAAGCAGGGGCGGATATACGATTTAAGTGAGGGGGGGTTCTAGATCTATTTCGGAACAAAGAAATTCAGATTTAGGAACCTAAAGACGCGCCAAAGGCGAAATTTTTGTTGACTTTCCTGTTTTGCGCTACGTTTTCTTTCCCTTAAGTGCTATTGAGAAGCTACTCTTAAATCTCAGGGGGGTGCGAAGGTCCTGCCGCCCCCCACCCCCTGTATCCGCCCTTGTAAACAAGTGCAGTAGATTCTAAAATGTGCCATGTCTAGAGAGATAAAAAATATTTTATTTTATTTCTTATTATACACTATACAGTGATAACCAGAAAACTCTGGAGTATGAAGACGACTGATCCTGCTTGTTTTACCTTATGTTGTTCTGAGTAATGGTATCCAGGTACTGAACCGGCTTGTTTACCAAACACACCAAACAGGTTTGGACCGTACTGCAACAAGATAAAAAAATTTCTGAAAAAAAATTTTTATTTACTTTAAGAAAAATTTTTTTGTCCCTAAACCTATGAGAAATGTTGAAAAAAAATAAAATTGATTTGAATGAATGAAAAAAAAGAATAAACGTAGGAAGTTAAATAATCACAGCATTTCCCCTGCTAATAATATATGAATTTTTAAACATTTAATAAAATTTTTACCAACACTTATATTGCAGTCTGTTATACAAGTAAATAAGATACTGCTTAAAAGGACTTGTCGTCATTTTTAGTGATCCTCCGATGCACAACGATACCCTTGAAACTTGATTTTTCTGGCTCAATTTTGATTATTTCTCCATTGTTTCTTAATTAAATCAAATCAAATATTTATTGCATGAAGTTTTATAGTTTAGACAATATAAAAATACAAAAAAATACAAATCCTCATGAGGGAAAATTAATCTGATGGGCCAGGTTTTCATAATTTTCCTTATAAACAGCTTAATGTCAGGGGGGAGATCCTGAACAAGTGGAAGAGTAGGTAGGATGGCAGGAAAACGTATATAAACATGATAACGAAGTATTACTATAGCTTAATCAGACCAGTACAACAACGTACAAACATCATCATATTTAAAAAGAATTCAAAAAGATTCAAATGTTTGTAGAAAGACATATCCCATTTTTAATACTACAAAAAAAATGGATATAAGAATATACATAAAATTCAAGTTTTTAAGTTTGTGTTAGGTTGTAATATTAATCTAGACGCTACTTATCTAGTGTTTAAACAAAAAGGACACAATAGTCTTTCATAAGTGAACCCCTGTAATTTATAAGATAGGCTTCAGAAGCAGATTTTAAAATATTTTTAGATTAGGACTGTTTAATCTCAACAGGAAAATTATTCCAAGCGGAAGGAAAAGATTCAAAAGGGAATCTTCTAAGATACTCAGATCTGACTCTGTGTACAAAATAATCAAAAACATTCCTAAGTCCTGGATCCAACTCTCGTTCATACATAAGAAAACAAAAAAATCATTTTTTGGTGTATGATTAGATAAAAAAAAATAGGCGGCGCGATTCACTTTTGCAGAGAAACCACAAATGAAAATAAACAGTGTTAAAAACAAAGAATATGGATATCAAGTCACTAAAATCAGACCAAGCTTTTAAGGGTTCCATTGTGAATTGGACATACTAGGAGAAAAATCAACTTTTTTTACTTTATAGAGAGAGGTCCTCCTTTAACTAACCATAATATTATCAACTTCGTGTGAATAATCATTTGTCTTCTAATAAAATGCAAAATAGAAAAAAGTTTTAAAATTAGTAGTGCTCTGTTATTAACGAATATTTTATCTTCCTTGTGTGATTCCCCTTCGCTTATATTGTGGCAATGTGAGCACAGTTTCTTAAACAGTCGTCTTCCTTTCTCAGCCGACATCTTGGATCTGCAAACATGATTACTTGTTGCTAACCAATATTTCGAGTTAAGTTAAGTGGGAATAAAATCTAGGCTCAGCGGTGTGGCCGTAAGATTGTTTAGTTTGCAATAACTAGATTAATGTAGACAAGCATAATTTTTTATTATTAATGATAATAAAAATAATTTTTGGATAGTTAGGCCGCAAAGAGCAACTACTATAACGTTTAAATATCAATATATTTCGTTTTGAAAGTCTAATGATATTTCTGTTTAACAAGATTATTGTGGTACACTTTTTTCACAATAAACTTGTTTTATCGATGTAATTGGTTGGAAATCAAGAAGATAATAAATCAATATTAATGGATAGCAGAAGATAAAATACCGGACAAAAAACATTTGAGTTTTTGCCACAATATATTTGCAACCTGATAGTGTAAACCTTTGAGATTTCAAACACAGATTATTTTATTAAACAGAATCCATAGTTTGAAATATCTAAGATTTACGACATCGCGTTTCTAAGATATAAGGATCAAATCATCAGAGTTTGTGGCAAAAATTCAATTCCTTTATCTGATCATGACCAAGCATGGAAAGTTTTGATTTTACAAGAACTATCAAATAGAAGAATGAACGATTTATATGCTGAAGGATTCGATGATAACGTATAATAACAGAAATGATAATATGCTTGTAATGAGTTATGATCAATGTCACCTATTTTTACATTTTCTTTTTCTTTGTTAGACTATATTTACAAATATGTATTTCGATTTATCACAAGAAATTAAATTACACCATTTATTATATGTACATAATATATCTTTGTGTGTGAATATATGATTATAATAATTAATCACAAGAACTTCAGTTATAAACTAGAAAAACGAACTGATTGTATTTAGTAAACACGAGTTGCTAAATATAAGATGATGAACGGTTATGAGAGTCTGTCAACGATTGGTTACGGTAAGTCTAGATTGAGCTCAGCTTACAGGTTAGAAAGGGGGGGGTAGTCCAAGAAAGGGGGAGAGAGGAGGTATCATGAGAAATATCACATACACATTTGGCGAGGGAGGGGGTTCAGGGGGCCGCCATGAGCCCCATGAGCTCCAATTCTCCGTATTCGCAGTAGGGTTTCCATTATTCCGGAACAAAATTTCCATTTTGGAAATGGAATGATCCGGAAATTTTTTTACGTAAAGCGGAATTCCGGGAAAATTTCCGGATGAAATGGAAACCGGAATTTTTCCGGTTTACGTTATGTAACCTGAATTTTTTCTGGTTAAGGGAATGGAAGACAGAAATTTTCGGAATTCTGGAATGTTCAGGAAAAATTCAGGATTTTATTCCGTTAACCGGAAAAAATCCACTTTTCAATCCATAAACAGTAAAAATTCCGGGTTCTGTAACTTAAACTGGAAAATGTTCAGTTTCCATTCCCTAAACTGGAAAAACTTTCAGGTTTACATTCTGGAATGGGAATATGAATTTACGATAAACAGATTTGCTGATTTGGTTATTAAATTACAATTATTATTAGACCAGGTTTCCACCAGGGTTTCCTACGTAATTCCAGGTTACAGTTTACATAAAGAAATGATCCGGAAATTTTTTCAATTTTCATTTTGGGAAAGGTTCTGGAAATCTTGAATTCTGGAACAATTTTTTTCCGTATACTGGAAATTTCTGGAATATATTGTTCCCGAAAATTCTGATTAACGGAAAAATTATTCTGAAATTTTCCGGATAAAGGTTCCGGAAAAACGTTAAAGAGATATTAAACTTATAAAAGATAAACTATAGTAAGTAAAACTATCTACATAATAATAGAATGTGCGCCTGGTTTAGCTGTAGTTAAAGTAATGAAGTGTGAATTATCATGAAATATAAATCCTGACTGCCATGTCTCAAACCAATTTAACCTACAGAAAACTTTGGAAAGGTAGACAACATATGACAACCCTTAAATCTATTTGATGTTGTTACAAAGCAAATAGGTTAAATATTAACTTATAAAATTACTTTTAAATTGGTCTGTATACAGTATAGTATACACTATAATTGCCGTGTCTCAGCTTTTCATTGAATTATTTAAGTTAAAACATAAGTCTAAAAGCCGTCCTCCTATTCCAGAGTTTTCTGGTTCTCATTCTATTTATATACTTTGCTCGTCTATTTGAAACCAATAAACGTCAAAACGGCTGAACCAACCGCGCCAAAAATTTGTGAGCCAACTTACATATCCCCAGGGAAGGTTTAAAACTGGTTCCGGTTTCTATTTGATCCAGAATTTTGTTCCGGAAAAATGGCAACCCTAGTTTCCACTATCTTCTACAAAATAATATGCATAATTTAGAACAGATGCATGGCTTTAATAAAAAAATGATAAGTTTTATCTTAAAAAAGCCAAAAGATACATTTTCATCAAAATGGTGAATTTTTTCATTACCTTCCAGATTATTTACAAACATTTTGAAAGCTCTAGCCCTAAATCTGACCACGAAGATCCTTATATCCATGGGGCTCATATTTATATCTGTCTGCATAAAGCTGTAACCTTCAAATCAAGCTAATTTTTGCTTTTGCATTTATTTTTCTTGGTTTGTTTCAGAAATATTTTAAATGTGAGTTATCCAATGTTTGGTCGAAAAACATTTTTGTATAATTGTATAAATCAGCAAAACCATTCCATTTTTAACCCATGGCNAGGATGTTGATTTAATGTATTGGTAATTTTTATTTCGAAAATTTCATAATCCTGACATGGCCAAGAGTGAGAGGAGAAAATGTGGGGCCCTTTTACAATTTTCGAGAGAAGAAACATCACATAGGAATTGCTTAAATTATGTGCCATTAAGTGGCGCCTTATACATTCTTAAAATTCAAATTTAAGGAAATAGATAAGAAGATGCCCCATCCCCGTCTGTAGCTGTGGCCCAAATTTTCAGGGACCGGGGGGGGAGATAGATTCCAATGCTACAGCTCTGAATTCCTGTAATAATAATATAATAATAATAATAATAACAGGATGGTATAAATTTTTAAACTGGAACGCTGTAAAGACGACCTGTTCTGAAATCAATAAATAGAAATACTGAATGCCGCAACTTGTGTTTATTTAGAAATGAGAGGTAGTAGTGGCGGAAGAAATTTCACAAACGTTCATTAATTTCACCCAAACGTAAAAATGCAATCGTTGTGAAAGCATATTTTTTTCCCAAATAGTTGTAATTTTTTTTTATGAATGTTTTGCCCTCTTACACCCATTTAAACATGAATAAATCCATATTTATGAGGACTAGGATTACAAACCTAAATTTTATTAGATTGAAGAATAAGCACTATGTACAGGATGTGGGAAATGTACATGCTGATATCACAACTCTCACAACAGCAAACATCAAGCCAGTCAAGTCTTACCTAGCGGCCATTTACAGAAAAATGCGATTATTCTGTAATCTGTCTAGCTCAAAGAACCGGCATTGCCCATGCAAACTCGTGTTGTTTTGCATTACCTGGCCAGTAGTCAATAATTTTCTAGAGAGCGATTTTTAAACCCCCGCCCCCTCCCTGCCTACCTACCCAGCAGAAAATGACTCAATAGTTTTTATTTCAGGGCGCCATTGGATATTATTTATATAGACTACCGTTTTGGAGGCCGAATGTGGGAGAAAACGCTCACTTTACGTACGTCTTGACATTTCAGGAATCTAACCGCTCATTCTTTTATTAAAACTATTTAAATTTCAGATTATAAACAAAAGATGTTTGCCCGTGTAGTGGGTGGTATGGCTGGTTGCCTGGCCTTCTCACGACAAATGTCTGTTAAAGCTCAGTCCGATCCAACTTTAGCAAAGTAAGTAGAAGTTGTATAAAGAATCCTTGACTTTGCGATGTCGTAAGCTATTCCAATTTCATATGTTTTCAGTTAATGGACAGGGGTATAAGCTTTCTTTAAAATACCCCCCTCCCCCCATCCATATATTACAATTGTTAAAGTGCTTTTTATCCGGCAGAATTAGAGAAAGTAGGTGATTTTTAGCAGATTATGAATCATTGTTTTGAATAAAGTATTTAAAAGTAAAAATTGTAAATTGAAAAGTGAGCGATATTATAATTTTCGAACTATTATCATTATTCACATTCTTATTTAATTCCAGACGTCTGCAAACGTGTGTTAACATGAGAACTGCTAAACAATAATACATTTAAGTTAATTTTTAGTTTTTGAAACATTAATAAATTGGTGTTTTTAGGGTTTTTTTCCTTGGAAAAATCAAATATTTTAAAGAGTGTTAAAAAGGATTCTAATGGGTTGAAAAATCAGACAGTTGATGTCCTTTCTTTTCATTAAATTCTAGATAATAATTATCCCTTATCTAACTATATCTATCTGTTCAGGTCTATTTATGAGTTCAGCGCTAAGACCCTGGAAGGAGAGTTGGTTAGTTTTGATAAGTACAGAGGGAAAGTCCTTGTTGTTGTCAATGTTGCCAGCAAATGAGGAAAAACTAAGGTATTAATCGGTGAAAGACGATACAAAATTGTGTTTTTTTTTATAAACAAAAAGGGCTTCTGCTTGTTTTAAGCCAAAGTATTCATTAGGATTAGGTTATTCGTAGATTTGCCAAAATGTTTTATTTTCAGGATTTAAAATTAAACTTTTAAATTATGAAAATTGAAAATAAAAAATTTTAATTTTGGATTATAATATTTGTAAGTTGATCCCTATCCCCATTGACCCCAAGGTTGCAAGCTATCATACAAAAATTGTTGATAATTTTTCCAATTACTTCTGTAAACAAGCTAAAGCTAAATTTAATTACTTTATAGTTCAAAATTATACACACATGTCTTGGGCTTCAAAAAAGTGCAAGTTAGTGTGGTTAAATCAAGGGCCTAGGTGTTGCGACACTTGAAGCAACTTTTTAAGGCAGCCTGGATTTATTTACATCAGTTCAGTTGTTCCATCGGCTATTTGGGAAGAGTTCCATCGGCTATTTGGGAAGAGAAAACTAATACAGTTGTTCCATCGGCTATTTGGGAAGAGACATAACTAATACAGTTGTTCCATCGGCTATCTGGGACTAATATAGTTGTTCCATCGGCTATTTGGGACTAATATAGTTGTTCCATCGGCTATTTGGGAAGAGACATAACTAATACAGTTGTTCCATCGGCTATTTGGGACTTGTTCCCTCGGCTATTTGGGAAGAAACATAACTTATATTTTATAACTTTCATTTTTCTGAGCCCTCTATTGACTATGGTTCAACGCCAAAATACTATCTTCAAGGAAACGCACACAACGTTTTAACCAATATCTATCTTTGAATCTCTTGGGAAGAAATCAACCAAAAAAATTATTTTTATTTCTATAATAGGTGGAAAACTTCTATAATTGCGAAGACATATTGAAACATAATCAAGTGCCTATTATTACTAGGAAGGAGTTGGAGCTCGCATGTTGATTGTGCTGTATTTAGGTAAATTACAACCAGCTGGTCAAACTCCATGAGAAATATGGATCTGAAGCTGGTGGATTTACCGTCCTTGCTTTCCCCTCGAACCAGTTTGGGTCTCAGGTATAGATATATTTTGGATATGGTCGTTAGCATGGAAACGTTTAAACTTGATTTAGGAACCCGGAACTGCTGAGGAGATCCGGAAGTTTGTTTCCGGATTCAACGTAAAGTTCGACGTGTTTGAGAAGTGCGACGTGAACGGTCCGAACTCACATCCTGTGTGGGTTTATATGAAGAGTCAGCAGGGAGGACTGTTAGGTTAGAACATTTTATTCATAAATGTTTTTAATTTTCAGAGTTGAATAAAAATAACTGAGATTTCCCATTTTGTAATCCGAGTTGATAATTTGGAAATAATCGTTTTTCTATTTCTATTTCTGAAATATTGCTCTTTTCAATCTTTCAGAAATTATATTTTCGAGTTGCCTAATAGTTCAGTGCTGCCCATTGCAATGTTTAATTGATAAATAGTTTCCGACAACTCGTCAAATTTGTCTAAACATTTCAATTACTGATGGTGTATCTTTCGACCTACTCAAAATCGCTGTGCTCCACTTCTGACCTACGCCAAATCCGCTATACTACACATCCGACCTTCTAGCACGTGGTTTTACAGCTGCCATATGGACTTGTGGCCGCAGCGCCCGGCCCCTAGCCTGTCCTAGCCATGGTGCTCGCCCCCTAGCCTTTCCTAGCCGCAGCGCTCGGTCCAGAAATTGTCATTTCCTATCCTAACTCAAATAATACAAAAATAAACAGCTGGCGTAGGTCGGAAAGTTATTAGGGCAGAAGTTCATTAGGGGGATGTTGCGTATAGACGATGTAACGTAACCCAATTACTATTTGAATTTTTTATTTCCCGACGCTGTCTAATTTTTTACACCAAATATTGCTGGATGTAGCATTCTAGGTTAACTAGACCGTGGGGGGGGGGGGGGTAATTAAGTCTTTACTCGTACAGCGTTTACATAATTATTTTTAATAACAATATGTTTATGTTAATATTAAGCCCTGTCCACTCTTTCTATTTTAAATGTTTGAGTTCTGTAAATTTCGTTATAGAGAGCTAAATTAGGTTGGATAAATGGTTCAGGGTATTACATGCTTAAAATTATTTTATTTCTAGGTGACTCTATCAAGTGGAATTTCACAAAGTTTCTGATCGATAAGAACGGTCAACCTGTAAATAGATACGGACCACTGGAAGATCCTATACCTAAGGAATTAAACATTTAAAATTTATTCAAAACCCTTCTTTTCTCGCATTTCTCTCAGAATAAACGAAGAAGCTTAATCCAATTTAGAAATAATCATGATATTTTTATTACCCTGAAAGACAGTGCTTAAGATTATTTTCATTTTGATACGGATCCGGATCCAGGTCATAAATATTCTGAACGACTTGCTGATTGTTTTTGACGAAAAGAAGGATTTTTTATTTTTTTAATATTATTTTTATTGTATATTCTATCCGATATTTTTTTATTTTTCAATATTATTATTTTATATTCCATCCGATATTTCGGAAAAGAGAATAAGACATAAATAACCCTAAATATTGTGGCTATGCTGCCAGGCAAGAAAGTGCAAGCCTAAGCCTCCAGAGAAGGCCTTTTTTTTAGGTTTGTGTCAGATTATCTTTACCCAAACATCAAATAGAAATAAGAATATTTATGATATATTATTATAATTTTTCGCCAATACCTCTTTTAGTAAATGTTTGGATGGTTACAGGTTGAAAAGGGAATTATCGAAGAACTTGCAAGATAACGCGTTCATCCCTTTCTAGTCGATTTTGTCGCGCTTACAATCACATTCTGTCGATCTAGCTTGTAGTACAATCTTTCGAACTTGCCTTAAACACAGGCTGTCGAACCAAAATACACTCAGAACTAGTCAATTAATATTTTATTTATACAAAACAACTGAAAGGAAACGATTGGATTATTTGACCTTGTGGTTTGAGGACTCCTGATCCTCAACATCTACTTCGTCTTCTTGGATACACAGGAACATCACAACAAAACTTAACCCTATCCCCGCTGGGGTACTTGAAAACCAGGATACGCTGGGGGGGGGAAAATAAAATTATTTTCCTCAATATAAAATATATCGATACTCGTAACATTTGATATAAAATAGAATTTGGGAGAAGTAAAAGAAATCGTTTTCTTTTAAAGTTTCCCCCCCTGTACATCAAATACTTCTGTTCTTACCTTTTTGTTGATTCATATTTATATTTTACTAACTAAAGTGCTGCGGATTGCCCGTTGGATTTTGGAAACGCTTTGAAAAGAAAACTCAATTTAATAAAATCACTTGGGATTCCTGAAAAAAATTCAGCCAGATTGGTTCAGTCGTTTGGCCTGCTATAGCTAACATATAAATATATAGTATATATGAGCAAAAATCCTTATTAATAATTATATTTATACTTTAAACCACAAAAGATTATTTAAGAATTTTTACTGTTTTCAATCCAATGTTTTATTTTTTTACTAAAATAAAGAATTATACTCCCCCTTCTTGCTTTTCTACGTTAAAAAATTAGGTCCTTTAAAGAACAAAGTGAATGTCCTGTTGTGATGCCCGGGTTTCAGGATTGTTAAATGATGACTGTGGTGTAAAGTAAACTGAACTACTTGCTGCTGTCTGATGATAAAACAAATCTAAAGTATCAAGAAATATTTCTAAAATGTCCCAAAATGAAAAATTGTTTTCTAATTTCAGAAAAAAAAATACTTATGGTAAGAATGGAGTGGCAGCCTGCCCCAGACGGGCTGGCACAAATCCTTCAATTACTCAAGGTACAATCCATCCTCTTCACTACACGTTCACAACCATTTTTTTCATTTAAGGAACCGTAAGCGTAAATTCTAGTGACCTTCCATTTATAGAGCGTCATTTCCGATTCACATCGGTACCCTTTGAACCTCTGTCCGAACAACGATGAGGTGGATACTCTTATTCTTACAGCTGAAGATTAAGTGCCGGGAGATTCAAGGTTAAAGTGTACTCTGTACTCTCCGCGCTAGTGTTCACTCGCACAGTTTCTTGCCATTTAATTTCCCGCTATATAAATTGAGATATCTACGAAATCCTTTTTTACATGACAGTTTAAGAGGTATTGTTGTAAATCGGACATGCCACTCTATAAATGGAAGGTCACTTGAAATTGCAATCAACATCCCTTTAAGGGTGACACTCGAAAAAGTGAAAGTCACAATATCAGAAGGTGCAGGTGATGTCAACCCTTAGTATTGAAATGCTGAATAAAATTTTGGCTCTTATTTCAAGTGGTTTCAGGGAAAATATCTTGATTTTTGGCAATGACAGGGTGGGGGGTCAATTCGGGACTTTGCGAAACCAAATGTTGTAAAGGCTGCACTTTTAAAATTGCGATAAAAGGGTAAAATTTTGCATACAGCCTCCAATTGTAGCCATAAACCTGATGAAAAATTGGTATCGGAAGTTTTCTTAGCCTCTGGAACATGCCTTGCGTTAAGATAGATAAAGTTGTGTTCATAATCCCGAAAATTGAAGTATTTTGAGTATTTTCAAGTCCTCTTAAATTTTGAAGAAGAAAAAAATTAAATGTTGTAGAAAAAAAATTGAGAAAATTTTCGTCCAGCCGTTTGGCCTGCTATAGCTGAAATATAAATATTTATATATGAGAAAATAGGTTTATTATATAGATTTAAATTTAATTTTTTATCAGGCGTCCCACAGTCCTGACACCGAAACACAGAGAGATGTCCAACAGAAGCTAGAACAACTAAATCAGGTCAAATTTTTTTTTTTTTTCGTGGTTAATATTTCGGAACAGAACCAGAGATAGTGTTGATATTGGTAGTTTCAAATACCTGATCTTGGTATTCAATGTGGGCACTTGTAAATCTGAAGATCAATGTTTGATCCCTTCATCAAAATTTTTCATTTTAGGGTATGACCGTCACATGTTATCGATTAAATTGATCTTTAGATTTGCATTGATTGAGATCAGTGCTTGATCATGAGATGCATGCAGCATCTCATGATTGAAATAAAATAATAAAATTTGGAAAACCAAAATTATGTTATTTCTTACCAAGTATGATTTTTGGGAAAAGATGACATATTTTCTTTGGGGAAATTTATATTTTTTTAAATATTAAGACTATTTATTGTTATTGGTCCAGGTGGAGTAAATATAGTGATCATTTTTATATATAATCCCGAAAAAACTGTTTAAATTTGAAATTAAAAATCTTTGGCGTTTATGTTTCAATTCTTTAGTGAAATTTATAAGTCTAAAAAATGGTAAAAACTAAAGGAAAAAGAATTAGAGAAACAAAAGAAAATAAGGAAAAAGCAAATAAGAAGAGAATAAGAGAATAAGATTAAAAAATTAAAAAATTAAAAAATTAAAAAATCAAAAAATTAAATTAAATTAAAATATTAAAAAATTAAAAAATTAAAAGATTAAAAGATTAAAAGATTAAAAGATTAAAATAAATTAAAAAAGATGATATCTTAATGGACAAAAACATTTTAAGTTTTGAGGATCTGTCAAGTTACCAAGTATCTTGTATCTACCCCTGGTTCTAATAATCCCCTTTACTTAGACTAGTCTTCTCAACTCAATAATTAACCTTAATCAGATTATCTCCATCAACTCAATCTACCCCCCCTCCCCCCTCTTCCTTTACTATCCTTCTACTGAAAATATGTTTTGAGAAAATATATGTGTTTTCCGTCAGAAAATGAATAAATTTGGATTTTTATTTTTTTAGTTTCCTGATTTCAACAATTATCTAATCTATGTTCTGACTAAACTAACCTCGGAGGATGACGCAACCAGGTAATACAATCCTCTGATAGATTCATTTAAAGATTAATGGAACTTATTTAAAATATTTTCCCCCATCTCTGTTTGACCGGTGAATTGCTCATACAGACTAAAATATATTTTTACAGTTTCCAATTTCATAAAGTTTTAAAAACGCTTGAAACGCAGGAAAATATTTTATGAAACTATTGTGTACTTTATCATTCTTACTCTGCACTTCATCGTGAATTTCAAAATAAACGTGCCAAAAAGTAATCATCGTGCTTTAATGACTATTTATAATACTGTTATTTTGGTTCGCAGTGTTATAAAGTTTTTGGACAGAAATTTTCTTTATATCTTGAAGGTACTCCCCCTTTTCAGATTTAATTTTAAAATATACTGCGAACCAAAATAACAGTGTTATAAATAGTTAATTCTAAACAATTTTTTAAGTTAAGAGAGTCAGAATAACTTTAATCAAGTCTTCCATTCTGTATTATCTCCACTTCAACATTTCTAAATTAGCAATCTTAAGGGTAGCTCAAAATTTAAATTTAAGACTTTTGAACCTAGTTCTTAAAATTCGGTCCCTGGTTAGTTTTTCTACTTTTCTACTTCTTTAAATTTTTACCTCGATTGATTTTTTGATTTGATTGATTTGATTTGTCTTCTCTTATTTTTTGCATGACCTGTTTTCATGTGTTCCATATCATTTTTTCTAGATTCTTTAATCTTTATGACTTTTTTTTATCTAAAAAAAAATGTCTCCAGCGAGAACACTTTTCTACCATTCTTAACATTGCTATCTTTTGAAAAGCATTCTTCCCTATTGTGCACTTAAGAACTAAGAATATTTTAGATTTTTAAGGGGATTATTGCTGATTACTATTAAAAAAATCTGAATTTTTTTGGCTAGAAATAAAAAAATAAAAGTGGGGTAAAATTTTGACCTCAAATCTTACTATTTTCACCAAAATCTTTGAAAACCATGAACCCCAGGGTGGCCGAGGGATATATACCCCTGCCATCAAAAAATTGAAAATCTGAAATCATTTTTTATTTCTTCCAAAATATCTAATAATTATTGTTTGATAGTTCATCCTACTGTATTTGATAGGAATTGTACATAGAGGTCTTTAGTAGTGTTCTTGTAAAAAAATGTTTAAATATACTTTAAACGATTTTTTTCATCCCCCAAAAACCCTTCTATGAGTTCTGATCGTTTGTCATTACACTATTTCCTTACGGGAGGGGGACTAAATTCTGGAATATATTCACCTCTCAATTTAGGGGCGAAACTAACACTTTTCTGATGGAGGGCTAATGTTTTACAAGGGTTTGGGGGGGGGATAGCCTCCCCCCTTGTCGGAAATAAAAAAACAAATTGAAGTTCTGTTTTAAAGACGAAAATTGAATTTTTTAATTGTGTTAATCTGTGTTAACTCCATGAATTATAATTCCAACAACTGAATAATTAAACGTTTTGAGTCAATTTGTTCAATAGTTTATTTTTTATTAATTTTACTTTTCTTAATCTTAATTGTCAAAATTGTTTTAAAATTGTCTACAAATCTGATCAAATTCCCTATCTGCGTGCGCCACTGCCTGATTTATCTTCGTGTTTAGATCTCTATCTGGTTTAATCCTGAAAAACAACGTGAAGGCGCACATGAACAACCTGCCCCCGGAGGTGATCAGCTTCATCAAGTCCGAGTGTTTACTTGCGGTAGGGGACCCCAGTCCCCTTATCAGAGCCACCATAGGGATCCTTATCACGACAATAGCAACCAGAGGTAAGTTGGGGTTGGGGGTGGAGGTGGGGGGGATGCATTGTATCATACCTTTTATGTTACGTCTAGTATTCTTTAATTATTTTTATGTACGCTGTATTATCTGTTCTTATCCTAGCTATTGAATAAAATAGAAAAATACACCTTACACCTTAACTTAAAATTCACTCCGAAGCAACGAATTTAAAAAAAGCGCGTAAATTCAATTGGAAATCAATTGCAATTAATTTTAAATCAATTGCAAATACAGACCGGGTTGAAAATCCAGAAATTGGGAAAGAATTGAAACTCTAACCCAAAAGAAGGATGCCACAAGCAATGCCTGTACAATATGATTTGAATTTGATTTGATTTGATTTGATTTGATTTGATTTGATTTGATTTGATTTGATTTGATTTGATTTGATTTGATTTGATGTTTAAATTAAAGTAGCAATACAAATATAAATATCTTTACATCAATAGAATTAATACTTCCAGTAAGAATAAAAATGTCCACCTATAATACTAACAATAGTAATCCTTATAACAATAGTAAGATCAATTCGAATAATAACAATGATAATAATAGTACTTTCACTAGGAGAACTGTGTAACTGGCCTGAACTTTTACCCAGCCTCTGTAATATGTTGGATACACCCAACCAACTTGTCATTGAGGTAAATTTAACATTTTAATTTTATTTTCTGGATTTTCATTCTAAACAAGTCGTTTTTCTCCGTTTATTTTTATGCAGTGTTAAGGATGTATTCCACTTACTGAACCGATTCCAGGATCCGTCTTATTCAGCTACTTTCGGATCAGAATCCAGTTCATCCTCTTTTCATTAATTTCTTTTACCACTCCCAAACTTCCAAAATTTTCCCTTTTTTTCCTGATTTTGTTTGTTTGTTGTGACTTAATTTTCCATCGTTGATGAGGAGGTAAGTTTGCTGAGATCTCACAAGCTAGAACTTTAAATGCGCCAAAAGTATTTATTTTGATATTGTGGTTTTTATTTTTTTTCACTCAGATCCGGATTTACAAATCCACATATTTTTGCTCCGGACCCGGGGAGTTTAAATGTTGTAACAAATTGTTTCGCGCCAATCGGCTAAGAAGGGCGGGAATTCGTTCTCTGAGGTTCAAAGGTTCATCATCGGGTAGAAAATATTTCATAATTAGAAAAATATACAATACTAGAAATTCAAGGCGCTTCGCGCCCTTCTTTCTAGCCTTAGAGGGCGCTTCGCGCCCATCTTCTAAATTAGTTGTGAACATGTTCTCTTTGTGTACATCGTAAAACTAAACAAAAATAATTCGCGGATTTTTACAAAAAATTTCGCGGATTTTCAAAATTTTTAAAAATTTAATGACGGTCGAATTTTGATAGAGACAAATATTTGAAATTTTGATTTTTCATTAACATTCCCTGGGGTCCCTAGATGTCCCACAAAAAATTTGGGCCCGATCGGTTCAGCCGTTTTGACGTTTATTGGATACAAACAAACAAACAAACAGACAGACAAGCCAAATTTATATATAGTATACAATATAATAACTTTTTACATACGAAAGTAATACCAAATAAGCATTAATTTACATTCCAATAACGCTTTGGAGTACAAAAAGATCCTTCATGTAAAGCAATATTCAGATACGGAACAGTTTTAAGGAAGATTGTGTAAAGTGCAGTACGCTCAGTGTTTGTAAACAAAACCCGGAACTTAGCATACAGCAAATCAAGGAAAAAAGGGGCGTTCACTTTTAGTAGAATTAATTCATGAAACCACGCAAGATACAATCTAACGAAACTGAAATAAAATCTAGAGGGAGCCAAAATATTGCAAATTCGGATCCTTAAGACCTGGTGATAATTTTGATTTACCGAATAAGATGGGATCATGTGTCTTATGGGCCGATATCAATATTTACTTTAATCTTAATCATTTTCTAAAATTTTGTTTTCGTTCGTTTTTCTTGTACTTTGCTTTCAGGGCGCTTCGCACTTCTTTTTTAGTAATAATTTTCGGGTATTTTTTGTTTTAGATGTTTTAGATTAGATTTTCGACATTTTTTCCTGCCACAATTGTTCCATTTCTATCAGCCATTAACCTTCCCTGGGGTCATTTGAGTTGCCACACAAATGTGGGCCCATTCGGGTTTGCCGTTTCAACGTTTATTGGATATAAACAGACAGAAAGATGAACAGAGAAGCCAAATTTCTAAATAGATATTTAGTTTATAGCAAACTATTCGAAATAAATGTTATTTCTCTGCTAATTGTTTTATGTTGTTACTTGAATATTGTGTGATGAAAGGAAGCGTAAACAATATTTACTTAAAAAGTTAAAGATTTTTCTGGATATTTTGGTTTGTGAAAGACGATGCCTGGCCGCGTTAAACAAGTTCCACAAGATTCAACAGAATGAGATAGAACGGATACAGGGCATAGTACTGATAAACATCTACACTTGTGATCTCGATATAAACTATTATTCTGAACCCTCTAGTAATAAGTTATAAGAAATATATACACTGGAAGTTATTTATGCGTTTTCATTAGAGTCTGACTCACGTCCTCTATATAAATATTTTCTGGACATTTTGTTTAAAATTTTCTGGATATTTTGGTTAGTATTTTCGGATATTTTGGTCAATATTTTTGGGATATTTGATTAATATTTTCTGTATATTTTGATTAATATTTTCTGGATATTTTGGTTAGTATTTTCGGATATTTTGGTCAATATTTTCTGGATATTTTGATTAATATTTTCTGTATATTTTGGTAAATATTTTCTGGATATTTTTATTAATATTTTCTGGATATTTTGGTTAATATTTTCTGGATATTTTGGTTAAGCTTTTCTGGATATTTTGGTCAATATTTTCTGGATATTTTGGTCAATATTTTCTGGATATTTTGGTCAGTATTTTCTGGATATTTTGGTTAATATTTTCTGGATATTTTGGTAAATATTTTCTGGATATTTTGGTTAATATTTTCTGGATAATTTTGGTAAAACTATACGGGTCAGCACCCAAAAAGTCTTAGAATTGTTCATTGGTGATATTAAGAGATATTTTATGCTTATCAATTTTTGCTTAGGGTGCGTTTGGAGCACTGAAGAAGATTTGTGAAGATCTAGCAGAGGTTTTGGATAGTGACGACCAGAACAGACCTCTTAACTTCATGATACCTAAGGTTGGTTGGTTTCTTGGTTGGTTTCGATGGTTTGATGGATGCTTGCTTGGATCACTGCTTGGTCTGTTGGATGACTGAATGTTAGGTTGGAATAATAAATGTTTGGTTGGATGACGGGATGTTTAGTTGGATGGCAGAATGTTTGGTTGGATGACTGAATGTTTGGTTGGATGACTGAATGTTTGGTTGGATGACTGAATGTTTGGTTGGATGACTGAATGTTTGGTTGGATGACGGGATGTTTAGTTGGATGACAGGATGTTTGGTTGGATGGTTGAATGTTTGGTTGGATGATTGAATGTTTGGGGGTGGATGACTGAATGTTTAGTTGGATGACTGAATGTTTTACATTTAAGAGTTTTTTTATTTAGTTTTTGACATTTTTCCGGCACGATTCCTCAACTATCCGGTCCCATGCTATAGCCTGTACAAACCAGTTCATCATTAGTAGATCTCAGGTACAGACAGAACTCAGAGACGAACAGAACAGATAGATAATACTTGGTCCAATTTTGGGTCTAAAATAAACCCTGCACTAAAACCGAATCTGAACCGAACTTAAATCGAATCTAAACCAAACTAGAACCGAACTCGAACCGAATTTGAACCGAACACGGACCGAGCTCAAACCGAGCTTAAACCGAACTCAAACCAAACTCAAACCAAACTCAAACCAAACTCAAACCAAACTCAAACCAAACAAACCAAACTTAAACCAAACTCAAACCGAACTCAAACTGAACTCAAACTAAACTCAAACCAAACTCAAACCAAACTCAAACCAAACTCAAACCAAACTCAAACCAAACTCAAACCAAACTCAATTAAACTTAAACCGAACTCAAACCGAACTCAAACTGAACTCAAACTGAACTCAAACCGAACTCAAACTGAACTCAAACCTAACTCAAACTGAACTCAAATCGTACTTTTACTGAACTTGAACCGAACTCGAACCGAACTTGAACCGAATTTGATTCGAATATGAACCGAAATCGAATCGAACTTAAACTGAATTCGAATTGAACTTTAATCAAATCTGAACCGAACTCGAACTGAAATAGAATCAAATCTGAACCAAACTTGAACAATATTTGAACTGAACTCGAACCGAATCTTAACCGAATCTAAATCGAATCTGAACCGAATCTAAATCGAATCTGAACCGAACTTGAACCGAACTTGATTGATTTTCTTGTCTAGGCGTTGATGGCGCATATAGACGAGTTCATCCAAAACCTTTTCTACAGAGCTACGGATGATGATCCAGAGGTATCTAGTCATCCAGATTTATATGTATCTAATTATCCATTAATATATATTCATATATTTCCCCCCTTTTCTATCTCTCCGTTCTATCTTTTCCCCTCATTTTTTACTGCCCACTCTCTTTGAAAATAATTAAAATATGTATACTAAAGTATTAAAATTATATACTAGTTCTGAAGATTTTTTACAACGTTTTCGTAATTGTATTCTAGGTTAGGAAGAATGTATGCAGAGATATTTGAATTGTGTTCTAGGCTAGGAAACATGTATGTCGGGATATTGTAATTGTATGCTAGGTTAGGAAGAATGTATGCCGAGCTATTGTAATTGTATTCTAGGTTAGAAAGAATGTATGTCGAGATATTGTAATTGTGTTCTAGGCTAGGAAACATGTATGTCGAGATATTGTGATTATATAATAGGTTAGGAAGAATGTATGCCGAGCTATTGTAATTGCAATTTAGGTTAGAAAGAATGTATGGCAAGCTATTGTAATTGTATGCTAGGTTAGGAAGAATGTATGCCGAGCTATTGTAATTGTATTCTAGGTTAGAAAGAATGTATGCCAAGCTGTTGTAAGAAATTGTATTCTAGGTTAGAAAGAATGTATGCCGAGCTATTGTTATTGTATTCTAGGTTAGAAAGAATGTATGCCGAGCTATTGTAATGCTGCTCGAGGTTCGAATAGATAGACTTGTTCCTCAAATGAACAATATCATCGATTACATGTTACTTCGAACTCAGGTACAAATACTTAAAGAAGAGACAATGATCTTATTTTTGAAAAGTAATACTCAGGCGTTTTTAGATTTTTTATTACGGTTTATTCAAGATATCTTTGAAGCCCTAAACTCTAGTATGCCAGTCCATTAGCGCCTGATCCAATCAGGGTTCAGCCATGTGTTTAGTGTCTATTCTGAACCAATAGAAATTGCATGGCGGTAACGTCTATCTTTCTATCTAGCTCATTATCCAATTAAAGATAAATCCTTATATCGGCGCTATAGCAGTAAATGGAAATATTTACTTCTACTGAAAATGGTGCTTACTAAATAATGATTCAAATAAAAGGTGTTTTGAAATCTTCGAAAAAGATAAATCTACATTTTAAACTTTAGTCTAATACTGAACTTAGCTGGCTTCGACTGAATGGAGATTGATTAGCTTTCAGTACCTTTTTTCTAAACTAAATCAGGGGTGAATAGTTCAAAATAAATATATTTTGAAAAAATTATCCAACTTTATGTACGTTTTCTTATTTAAAAATATTAGTCGTTATTATTTCAGTCTTACGAGTACACCACTGTTTAAAGAGGAGACAGGGATGTTTCTGTATCTTAATTTTTCCTTCTTTGATACTTCGTTTTTGCTATGATACTTCGTTTTTGCTACATTTTTCAAAAATTATTTTAAAAGGGAAGTTGGCGCAATCTTGCCAAGCATATCAAATCCTCTTGAGAGTATTTTGGTTTATTAATGTTATCTCTTAATGTAATAATTATTTCATTTGATTTGATTAATGCAAACTAATTTGAGAAATATTTTTCAAGTACTTAATTGCAAAATGTATTGGTTTTCTCTTCTTTTTACTTAAATTACATATTTCTAAATTTATATTTTTATTTCTCATTTCATTCAGGATGGAGATGAGGGAGTTTCGCTGGAAGCTTGTGAGTTCTGGTTGTCACTTGCAGAGCAACCAATATGTAGAGAGGTCCTACAACCCCATTTACCAAGGTATTTAACTTAATATATACTCTACAGTACTGGTTGTCTTAAGCAGAGCAACCAATATGTAGAGAGGTCCTACAACCCCATTTACCCAGGTATATACCTTAATATATAACCTACAGTACTGGTTGTCTTAAGCAGAGCAACCAATATGTAGAGAGGTCCTACAACCCCATTTACCCTAGGTATATACCTAGATATACTCTACAGTTCTGGTTGTATAGCAACCCATATATAAAGATGTAGCTGAAGATTTTGATGGTTATTATATCGTTAGAACTGACGAGGGTCATCCCAGACGGAAATATATTTTCAATAAACGTGGAACTAACGTCTACTTTTTTTACTCTACAGAGGGAGCGGGGGAAGGCAGGCGGCCATGAGCCACCACTATTTCCCCTTCCGTACCACATATTAGCTTTTTTCTCTTCCGGCAGCCATGAGCCACCACTATTTTCCCTTCCGTACCACAACATTTGACTCTTCCGGGCAAAACTACTTTTTAAATGGTATATTTAGGGCCTTTTAAGTGTGATTTTTAAAAATCCAGCCGCGTCACGCAAAAAAGCACAACTCGAATCATTTTTTCAATTCTACTTAAGATTAATATTTTGTGTGTTGAATTCAGGGAACAGGAATATAGGGAAAGGAAATGGCGCTGGTCCGGCAAGAGAAAGCCAGTCGCACTGATTTGCAGACACTTACAAACACTCTTCTGGTACAGACACACAACACAGTCAAGGAAATTGTAGAACAATGTCGTCGATTATAATTAAACTTGAATAACGAGTAGTAAATTGTAAACTTTAATCAAATTATATTCTTTGCATGAAAATTTGGCTTTACATTGTTGACTTAAATATGTAAATAATATATTACATGTATATTAAACTTATTTCTAAGTAAACAATTAACAATAAACAAATGTACTCTCCTAGGCTGTACAAATACCGAGATTCTTACGTACTGTATAAACCTACTGTACACACCTTCGGTACTTTAAACTGACACACACTCTTTTGGTACAGACACACACACATGACGTTTCCGCCCCCTGGTTGAATTCTTAAACTGCTTTACAATGAATTTTTTGACAAATTTGACTGAGTATTGCATCTTGAAATATCACAAAGTCTAATGATTATTGGTTAATGAGTGATTTTAAGATGGATTTAGTATAATGAGTCATGAATTGAATGTACCATTTAAAAAAGTAGTTTTGCCCGGAAGAGTCAAATGTGGTGGTACGGAAGGGGAAATAGTGGTGGCTCATGGCTGCCAGAAGAGAAAAAAGGTAATATGTGGTACGGAAGGGGAAATAGTGGTGGCTCATGGCCGCCTGCCTTCCCCCGCTTACAGAGGTTTGGACCATCACCATCACCAAATTTAGAACTACCCAGTACCCATATATTAGGACTGGTGGGACAAAATCATAACAATATTGTCAATAAAATAATAATATTTCTTATATTTGTATAATACTACTAAACTCTAGGTTGGTGCCTGTACTAGTAAGGAGTATGAAGTACAGTGAACTGGATATTATACTTCTCAAGGGAGATGTAGAGGAGGTAGGTTTATTTAAGTATATGTGTAAGGAGGAATATGGGGGGGGGGGTTGGACAACTAGGCACAAAAGGGGACAATTAGGCACAAGATTGTACTTACCGTTGGGAATTGTACTTGCCACCTCTTTAAACGTAGGATCACTTGAAATTCTACAGTCTCTTAAATGAACATTTCAAAGTGCTAGGGGACTAAAAATCAGAAAACTGAAGGGAAATAATCCAATATTAGTTTAATTAAATAAGTAAATGTGTGGGAAAGTTATTAAAAGAGTTGAGGGAGTTATTTAGAGAAGTGAGTTGGTGTAGGATATTTATTTACTAGGATTATACTATGGAGTTGAGGATGATTTCTGATTTAACAGAGGGGTTTATCTGCTAAACAAGGACATTATGTCAAGGATTTAGACATGATTTCTGATTCAACAGAGGGGTTTATCTGCTAAACAAGGACATTATGTCAAGGATGTAAACATGATATCTGATTCAACAGAGGGGTTTATCTGCTAAACAATCTATGTCAAGGATGTACACATAGATTCAGCCTGTTATCAAATGTTGCATCAATTTACAAGACAGGGTCGATTATGAAGTGTCGTAAAGCCCTGGGCTTTGATTGTACAGCTCTAACTCACTCATGCTTTTTTGTAGCCGAAGACATGTACATTTTTTAACTATAAAGCACTTTGTTAGCTCTAGTATTTAAGAAATTCTAATAGATTTTTGCGTGAGAGCTTGCCACCTTTAAATCGTAGTCACACGGATTGGAAATTTAACCATCTTATCTTATCTTATGCGCCAATGCATTTGCATAACTACAATTATATTGTAATGATCTTCGCTCACATACATATATTTGTATGTAAATATGTTAGCTATAGCTTGCCAAATCTTTTGACGGAACCCATGGCTACCCTGGGGGTAACATAGGTCAAAAAATTAGAACATTTTTGTTGCCATATTTTTTCAGCGTGTTAAAATTATATTATTAATTCATTATCAGGACGAGATGATACCAGATCGTGAGGAGGATATTCGTCCCAGATTTCATAGATCCAGATCTCATCACGCAAACCAGGACCAGGACGACGAGGACGAGGACGGGATGGACGACGATAGTTCTTTATCCGGTAAATCTTATACAGGGTGTCCCATGAAAATCAATTTTTCCCCCAGAAGTTAGGGGATAATAGATTTTTGGGTTAAAAGTTTGTAAAAGGTTTAACTTGCCTCTTCATTTCCAATTTTTTAGATTTCCAAAAATCATTCTTAATTCTTAATAATATACTGCCTGTTTCACAATTTGCTTGCATCATGCTTTCGAGTGTACTGTAGGGTGCCTAGTGCCTACTGCCTAGTGTGTGCATCAACATTAAAGAAAATTATAAAAACGCCATTTTATCTCATGCTAGACTAATCTAGATGAATAAGAAAATCATTAGCTAATGTCACTGTATTTGATTTATAATACGGAGTAGCTTATCATTTCATTGACAAACCTACGCTTGTGCGGGGGTCTAACATCTGAGAGTTAAGTTTTAATATTGTTATTTTATAGATTGGAATCTGCGCAAGTGTTCAGCTGCAGCACTGGATGTTCTAGCAAATGTGTTTATGAATGAATTACTCCCAGTTCTACTCCCAATACTAAAGGTAATGAACAACTCCCTAAAGTCTTAGGTAGATTATCAATTACTCCCTTCAGTACTTTTAAAATGACTTTGAAAAATTTCACTTGCTACAATGGAAACTGTGGAATTCTTGTTTTTTTCTGTAAAATATTGGATTTTGTTTTTTGGAAATAAATCTAAACCTAAAAATAGGAAACTACAACCCCTTCGAGAAATCTTATCATTTCATAATTCATATCTGAACTACTTGCAGTCCTATTGACCGCTGAGTATCTACATTTTTTAAATCTTTAAACTATTTAAATCGCTAAATATTTGATAGTCAAAGATTAGATTTTTCCCCTTAATCAGCTTAGCATACATGTTGAGAGTTGTGCATTTTTCTTTTTTTTTTTAATGTCAGATTATTGCGCCCATTTTCTTATTATTACATTAATATTAATTTCTGAGGAAAACTAGAAAATTTCACAGTCTTAATTCTTGAATATTTACCTAATCCACTAATTGAGAAAAATGTTGTGTTAGTTTAGAATCAAAAGCCTATTTTCTGATGTGAAGTGTGTTTGTGTGTGTGTGTGTAAGGGGGTAGGGAGGGGGGGGGGGGGAGAGAGTTGGTTAAGTTATCATAAATGTTATCAAAGGAATTAAACTTTAAGAGTTGATGTGGTATAACATACCAAAATACTCATATTTCCCCTTTAAACTCCTTTTCCTTCTGAAATATGTCCCGAGCAGATTTTAACAATAATTTGATATTTTCAAAAAACATTGTTTTATTTTATAAATTATAAGAAAAACTTTTACCTTTTTCAAATGCATTTTAGAACAAAATATATAATATTAAAGTCGACCATAGGAAAAAATAACGTAATTTACAGATATAGAGTATACCCAGACACTACTCTTCTAGATTATTAAGTTTTATATTATTATATTTTATAAGATAACTTACATATTAATATTTGAATGAAATGTTATTCTTGCGGCAGAATATTATTTTTTAGATTCAAATTATTTATTTTAATTCAATTTGACATTTGTTATATTTGTCTTGTTATGCTGTGTATTCCATACAAGTCAAGTTTTCTGTCACCACTCCTCGTCTTTCCTTTAGTTTCCTCATCACTACTATCCCCTGAATCAAACAAAATCATTTACATTGTCTTAATGTAACTAAACCAATTATTGGTAAAAAATGGAGCTGAAAAAAGTAGCAAAAAATTAAACTTAAAAATAGTGTTTATCAGTGCTTAGGCTTCGAATCCATATCCGTTGGATCCGCAATATTTCGGTTCCTGGATCCGGATCCGCAAAAATATACGGATCCAAGGGTCAAAATATCAAGGAAAAACTGCAAAAAAAATGTTTTGCTCTGAAAACCCAAATCTGAACTGTTGATAAAAGAGAGAGTATCCAAATCTTCATGATCTCTGAATGGTTCATTCATGTTTTAGCAAAAAAATAAGCGAAAAAGAAGATTGAAAAAAAAATCTTCTGTTAAAAAAAAAAATCAGTAAATCTAATAAAATATTCATGACCGTGGAATATTCATGCCCTGATTCCGGATCCGTACCAAAATAAAATGGATCCTAAGCACTGGTGTTTATGAATATGGAAGTTTTTTTTTGACAAAAAGCTAAGTATAAGCATACAAGCAGTGAACCAGTTATTGACTTTGTTTAAAGTTAAGATGGCTTAACAATTCTAGATGTTAAGTTAAAGACCTATTCGGGAATTAATTTCAAAAGCCATTATGCGAATTGCTTTAATATAGACGAACAACCATCAATGTATTTTATATTTCAAAATTAGAAAAGAGCCGGAAGGATAATTAAAAGGAATTTAAACAACCACGAATGTATTTTTATATTTCAAGATTAAAAAAGAGCATTAAGGCACTTTTTATTATAGTTAGTATAATGAAATATTGAAATATTCATTGTTTCTTTATAGTATCATCACAAAGGCCCTTGGAGATCCAATATCGCAAATACAAGGATTTTTAAGACCATCATATTTGGCAATTGGTTTAATGGCTTGTCAAAGAGTGTCTTAGAGTAGTACAAGAAAAGTTTTTGTTAAGAGCAAAGTTTCAGTTTTTATAAAACTTTAAGCTTAGTTTTTTGAATAAAATAAAAACTTATATCATGATTGTATAATTGTATTGCAGCATAAATTCCTGGGAAATTACATTTTGGTAAAAAGAGATATATTGGGAAAAATAATATTTTCAAGACACTGAAATCTTAATAATTGTTTTTTTTCTTTTTAATTTGAAAAAGTCCTGTCTTTTATTTTTTTAAGTAAATTATTATGATTTTTAGTACGATTGTGAAAAGTTTTTTATGACAGTCAATTTCGGTAAATGTGCTTTTTGGACTATAAGCGTAATTCAAGTCACCCTCCATACAAAGATGTCAATTCCCGATGAACAAGGATACCCTTGCATTCTTTCTGATCAATAATGTGGAAGATTTCTGATCAATAATGTGGAAGATTTCTGATCAATAATGTGGAAGATTTCTGATCAATAATGAATGTCGATTTTCTAGTTAAAAAATTTGTTAAAACTGAAAATTCTTCAGTCATAACCAAAACTTAAAATTCTTACATCTTTTCCTGCAGTGTTAATGCGCCAATCACTCTTGTTGAAAATCCACAATTGAAAATAATAATCCGTTTTCTTAACTTTGATATCTAATGCACATTTGATCAGATAAAGCTTTTAAGGGTACTGATGTGAATCAGGCATTGTCATTTTTGTGCATGGAGGGTCACTTCAAAATTACGTTTGCAATTCCTTTTCATACATTTGTTACCTTGATCAGCAGAAGAACCGAGAATATTCCTGCACTTGTTCCGTAGAATATTGTTGAGAAGATGTTGGTGAAAGTGTAGTTATTTGTTAAACAACTTAGTAGAGGAATCCTGCAACAATATTATCTATATATAAATTTAACTTATCTGTCTGTCTGTTTGGATCCAATAACGTCAAAACGGCTGAACCGATCGGGCCCAAATTTTGTTTATGAATGATCAAAATTTCAAAGATTTGTGCTTAAAAGTGGTTTATTTTTGTAAAATTTTAAAAATGCGCTAAAAAATATTATGAAATCCGCAAACTTTTTTTTTTGGTTTTATACTGTACAAAATAGTTGAAATAGAAGCCTAGTATTTTAAATGCACTGTTGTAAAGAATATATTTAAGATCTTGTATTGTTTTAACGAAGTGACTTTTAAAACTAAATACTTTTAATACTCGCAATCTAGACTTTTTGTTTGAATTACCAACAAATGTAAATGTTCAATTAGTTGAAGTTAAAATGAAAAAGTTAATTTAATTTTTTCTGCAAAAACATCGACATTTTACAGTTTGTCAATGAAAGAAATAAAAATATCAATATAGATTTATAAAAGACTTTTTTTTGCCCTAAAGATAAATTTCTTTAAATAAACATTTGTTTACTTGATAATATCAATGGCATAGATTATTACCACAAGCATTGTACGATAATGAGCATCCAGTTGAGTTCTAGAGCTGCTATCACCGGTAGAGCTACATCTAACACTGAGCATAGTATCTTCACAGTTGATACCCACTAATATAAAATAAGAACAGTTTTTGGTCAGGATTATCATACATATTTTTGGTCTAAAAAAGGCCTTGAATTCAGTAGCCCTGAAGATAAAACACCTTATGATCTATTTAATTAATATTCATTAAAACTAAATGATAAAAAATTGGAATTGAAATAGAAATAGAAATGCATCCAGAGAAAAATGGATCCGTAGCAATACATCCAGAGAAAATTGTACTTGGATCCATGTCACCGAGAATTCAATGGATCTGTATCCGTAAATCCAGAGAAAATTGGATCCATATCCATAAATCCAGAGAAAACTGGATCCGTATCCAATATCCACAAATCCAGAGAACAATGGAACCATTTATTCTTATTCTTTTATTACTTACCAACAATTCATCTTCTTCTCTTTTCCTAATATGATCGAAAATGTGAAAACCTGAAGAAAAAGTAAAGACTGTAAAAAAAAGAAATTTTAGAAACTCTGAAATTTGTTTGGAATTTATATTAACTACCCAGATGGCTGAAGGAGTAGAAGAGGTAAACTGGGATAGTCAGCCCCTGAACAAATATAATTAAAATTTCATTATTTTCTATTCAATAACTTCACCGCCATTTAACTAACATTACCGACCCATAATTTCACCAGCAGAAATATAACTACCCGTTCTGGATTATCATCATTATCTCAAAAGATGCTTATGGTAAAATTGTGTACAACCACTTTTTCGGGAATTTAAAAACTTTATTTAACCATAGGTTTCCTTCGGGAACCCTTGGTAAAGTAAAACTTCCTTAACTTCCCTGTAAAGTAGTTATAAATATTCATTTTAACGCTAAAGAGCATTTATTATAAAAGGGAGCTTGGTGTTAATATCAGTTTAATATTTCTACCTTGAGAATAGGACTGTGAAGAAGTTTACTCATCTCCATCTTAATTTTCTTACATTTTTAATTCTTAAACATTTATATTCTCAAGTAGTTTAAAGTTTTACAATTCTATTGTTATTTTTACGTCACCATTAAATTCAAGTAAACAAAAATATCTAATCTGGGATGAAACAGAAGAAAAATCATCCAAAAATAGTTTTTTTTTAATTCTTGAGAGGGGGATGGGGGGGGGGGAAGGAAAAAGAAAAGATTATTTGACAGTCCTATAATAATGGTACTAGGGGAGAGTAATAGGGGGAGGGGGGTTAGAATAAATGACATTTGCTTATTTTAAGTTTGAAAAGAATGTTAATTATTTTTAAGTGTTTACTCGAAAAACCTGTTAAATTTTTAGCAATACTTTCTTACTCTGTGAAATGATTTTAAGCTGTAAGTTTAAGAATTGAAAAAGGATCGTAATTTGGGTTTCCACGAAACAGTAGATTCTCTAGCGCAATAGTTTCGCGTTTTTGCACGAAATGACTTTATTTGCTCGAAATTTTGAATCATTTTCGTATAATTCGAAACCAGGTTTGCAAGAAATTGCGCATTCACTCAAAGTCAATATTTTTTATTTGCACAAAATTGCGGATAAATACACAATCAACCATAGAAGTGAGGCCACCGCCAAAGGTGCGGGTGAGAGCGGGCCGGAGTATAGTGGGGCCCTGATTTGTTTAGTTTTGGATTTAATCATTTCCTGGAATTGTTTCTCGAAATTTAACGAAATAGCTCGAAATATCGAAATAGCAAGAATAACGAAATGCGTAAAAACAAAGATTTTCTTCATAATTTGCTCGAAATAACTTTTGCGCATCAATGCAAAATTTCGCGCAGTTTCTACTCGAAACCTAAGAAAGTCTTTGCGCAATTATTGCACGATTTTCGTGCTAAAAATTTCGATTGGAAACCCTAATTGTAATGCATGAGTTTACAATTTCAATATATATAAAGTTTGAAAATATGATGATATTGCAACATTTTTAATGATTATAAGTAATTTTTCAATTCAGAAAAATCTTTTTTAAAATTGCGACAATGTTGAATACCAATGTAATATCGTCTTAACACATTTGATGATGACTTGAGGATTATTGAAGATTAAAAGCAGTTGAGGATATTGTTCAAACAATATAAGAGTACATTGATAACCAAAAAACAATGGAATAGGAAGACGACATTATAACAATACTTGAGTGTATTTAATGCTGTTACTAAACAGATATTTACTAGACACTTACTAAATCACGGGTTTACTAAAATGGGTTTGTTCTTTCTGCACCACTGTGTCTCATGCTCATTGGACTCATAACTTCATTATATTAGGCGTGTTCCTATTTCGGAGTTTTCTGATTATCACTGTACATACAAATCTAAATAAAAAGGTTGTTTGCTCAAGTTCCTTTTGGAATTTTTGTCCTGCAATAATTTCGAAATCTATTTCATGCTTCATATTATTTTCAAATATTAATGTATCCTAAACAAAACATTTGGAACCAGATCAATTGAATTGGGAAAAGTAGTTGAACCGCGTAGACGTCGTCAAGCCACTTCTCTTGAACCGGTGCACAAAAGAAGAGGTTCAATGATCTTTACGCGGTTCTACTGATTTTCGCTATTATCAAATCTGGCTCAGGTTAAAAATTGTAAAATGTCAGTTCAAGTTTTTGTCCATTTTCTATATTCAACGATTTTTACATTTCACAGATAAACAGTTTTAAAATTTCAAAATGAAAGTATTTTTACACCGAACGTAGTGGGGGAGGAGGAGGGGGGGCGGGGTTTATTATGTGTTGAGTGGTTAGTTTGTTGAGCTGAACTGAAGAAGAGAAGTTTGTGAGGATTAAAGGTTCCTCTCAATCTATCCTCCTCTTACTCCTCCTCCTCCCGATACATTTACTTAAACATTTGTCATTCACTCAGACATTTAAAGTCTACCTAGACAATCGTAGATTTAGGATATTTTTCAGACTAAAACATTCTTAGATTACTTGGACATTCGCAGTTTTTGGATATTTCCTGTTTTCAGACTAAAACATTCGTTGTTAACTCGGACATTTGCGGTTTTTGGACATATCTTGTTTTCAGACTTAAACATTCGTAGTTTACTTCTTAGGTCACTTTGTTGATTGATGTTTAGTTGGATGTTCATAGTTTACTTGGACATTTGTAATTTTGGGACATTTCTTGTTTTCTTAGACTTTTTTATGTTACTTGGATATTCGTAGTTTACTTGGGACATTTAAAGTTTACGTGGATATTCATAGATTACTCTGACATTTCTAGTTGAATTTGACATTAGTTTTTTTTTACCCAGACATCAGTGATTTACCTAGACATTCGTAATTCGAACAATCATTAAAGGTTTACTTGGATATTTCTAGTTCAAAAAGACATTTCTTGTGTACTTGGAGATTTCTAGTTCACTTTGACCTTATTTGTTTACTTCAACATAATGCCATTATTGGTTTACTTAAACATTACTTGTTAACTCAGACATTTCTAGTTTATTTAGAAAATTCTAGTTTACTCAGACATTTCCAGTTTACTCAGACATTTCTAGTTTATTCAGATAATTCCAGTTTACTCAGATATTTCTTTTTAATCAGACATTTATAGTTTTTTTAGACATTTATATATTACTCAGATATTTCTAGTTTATCTAGACATTTATAGTTTATTCAGACATTTCTAGGTTACTCAGATATTTTTAGTTTACTTCTACTTTTATCAGATATTTCCAGTTTGTTCAGACATTTCTAGTTTACTCAGACATTTCTAGTTTACTCAGACATTTCTAGTTTAATCAGATATTTCTAGTTTACTCAGACATTTCTAGTTTACTCAGACATTTCTAGTTTACTCAGACATTTCTAGTTTACATAGACATTTCTAGTTTACATAGACATTTTTAGTTTACTCAGACATTTCTAGTTTACTCAGACATTTCTAGTTTACTCAGACATTTCTAGTTTACTCAGACATTTCTAGTTTACATAGATATTTCTAGTTTACTCAGACATTTCTAGTTTACATAGACATTTTTAGTTTACTCAGACATTTCTAGTTTAATCAGATATTTCTAGTTTACTCAGACATTTCCAGTTTAGATATTTCCAGTTTACTCTCACTAGAAACACTTACTTATACAGATATAAACTTTAAAATAAACTAGTTTAACTGAATAACTTTCAATCCAATCCAGTCCGTTTCAGGACTTTGTCCTGACTCCTAGTTACTATATACTTTCAGTATTAGTTTTTAAGTTAAAATTATATTTTAGGAAACCCTGTTTCATCCAGAGTGGGAAGTGAAGGAGAGTGGTATACTAGCACTTGGAGCTATAGGAACCTAACCAGATTCAGAACTCAAATTATTATAGGACTTTCAGGGCGCGTAGCGTTTAAGTTTATAAGTTCATATATATTTATTTATATATCTTGAGTTATGTTATAAATTACAAAAGCTTTAGCGACATTTATAATCAAAAGACTTGATAGAGATTATCTTTTGTTCTCCATCATACTGATTTATTTTTACCTCCTCTTGTTAACAGCTTAACAGTCTTTTATTTAAAAGATCTCTTACCTGCTTATCACAAAATTATTTACTTATGGAACTAAAATTAACCTTAGAGTTTAAAAGCCCGAGAAAAAAGATGCCATATCAATGCTAAAATTTAATTTAGGAAAATAAAATTTTTCTAAATAATATTAATGAAAATATCGACTGATGAATTAGAATTTATTTCTAAACTGGTTTTGTCCAGCTGAAGGATGTATGGGAGGAATGGTGGAATTTCTCAGTGAGTTGGTACCTTACCTGGTCAACTGTTTATCTGATAAGAAGGCGCTGGTTAGATCCATCACATGCTGGACACTTTCAAGGTTATAGATTAGATTTAGTTAGATCCATCACATGCTGGACACTTTCCAGGTTATAGATTAGATCTGGTTAGATCCATCACATGCTGGACACTTTCCAGGTTATAGATTAGATCTGGTTAGATACATCACTTGCTGGACACTTTCCAGGTTTTAGATTAGATCTGGTTAGATCCATCACATGCTGGACACTTTCCAGGTTTTAGATTAGATCTGATTAGATCAGACCTTGCACAATGCACATCTGTATTAAATGGACTGACTTTGTAACCTCAAGTGACCCTCTCAACCTCCATGCTTGCCCGATTCACAACGGTATCCGGTAAACCATTTAATCTGATCAGTAACTTGAAGAAATCGTCAATTTTTTAGCTTACAATTTAATCCATTATTTCTGTTGTACAGACTATTGTGCAAATAAATCGATTTCAACGTGAAAACATCACATTTATTCTTGATCAGAAGAAGCGTTCAGGGATACCGTTTTGAAAAGTTAAAAAAAAATGTGAAATTATTTCAAAAAAGTGTTTAAAGTTAAAGATTTCAAGACGGTTTGCAAACGCAAATCACAAATCTTCAAATAGATAAAAGGGAGTGTCTTGCTTGACACGGTAGTTGAGCTGAGAATGTAATATCCTCGAGAATTTTTAAGGATTCATACGAGACCTATTATAAGCTTTTATGGTGCATATTTGTTAAGCAAGAGCGCAAATTCAATCTTAAAATCCTCATAGATTGTCCATTTTGGAGGGATTATTTTGAGAATCGGTTAGCTAGATACGCCGTTTAAGATCATATCCTCCTGAAGGTTGTGCTTTACAGGTATTCCCACTGGGTGGTTCAACAACCTCATGAGCAGTTCTTAAAGCCCTTGATGAGTGAACTGTTGAAGAGGATCCTGGACAGCAACAAGAGGGTGCAGGAGGCCGCCTGCTCGGCCTTTGCTACCTTGGAGGAGGAGGCTTGTACGGTAATAATATACCTTTTACTACAGTGATAAAAAAATAGAAGCGTATCTAAGGAATACAGTAGCAGCAACAAATCCAGTGTTTGACCTTCTAATGACCTCTAACGACCTTTAATGACCTAAAGCTTTTAATTAATTGTCATCTCCATGATAGATCTCGGAGATATAAACATTAGAAGAGAATTAACAGGAATTATTCCTGCATTAATCAATTTGTTCTTGAGATGATTCTCTTTCTTCTCAGGACTCGGGGATAAGTGTAATTACTTTGATAGAATTCATTAATATAGGACAGAGGGGGGGGGGGGTCATTTACATTATATACATTATTGCCAGTTATTTTGCATTTTTTCTGACAGAAAACAAAATCCGTTCCCTCAACATATATTTCCAGACTTGCCTGTTGCAAAAAAATGCACTGAAAAAATCAATATTACTTTCCAATAGATATTCAAAATTGTACATTTACAGGGTGAGCCTGTATATACAGGGTGAAACAATAATGTAAATGTTTGTACTTTTTTAACTTTTGTAGGTTCAGCAGTGCATTATATACTTACAAACATAAAACGAGTATTCTCAATTATATCTTTGTCTACTCAAGTTACCAAGTTACTCTTGGTTAATTATAAGTTAGGATTAGGGCTGGGCACGTTCCGACTTTTTTGAAATCGTTCCGTTCTGTTCTAGAACGAGGGCCTTCAGCTAAATCGTTCCGTTCTCGTTCCTCTTATTCGTTCTCGGCAAAGAACGATCGTTCCACCGTTAACGCGCCCAGCCCTAGTTAGGATACTAGTATGTAGATAAAATTCATGCGTACACTCACATGATATTATACCAAACAACTATCATATATTTTATGGATAAAGATAAAGTTGGTATATCTTATATTATCTCTTCCTCTCCAGGTTTGAATATTAATACATACTAGATTGAAAACCTGGCGTTTCTCAGGTTTATAATATTGTTATTCATAGTTATAGTCACTCCTGCCGTTTACCCGCGCTTGGTAATCAATTATTTAGCTTTGTCTGGCATTGCCCGTGGAATAAAAATTTAAATTGTTAACTAACGTCACCCTCAGCTTCCATTTATACTATAGCTAACATATAAATAAATACATGAGCTAAGAGCTTATTGCCTTCTGTCTCAAACCAAGAACCAAACGTATAACATGTTAATTGAGCAAACCCGATCTTGTTCCTCCGTCTTCTCCAACTCCAGCCCCAACACCACGGCAAACTGCCAGGAGACCAACCTGAAAACAGCCCTGCTATGGCTGCTCTCCTTCTGTTGAGAATCATTTGAAATCATATATGTAATTCTTATGCTCAACCTGTCATATTTTCAACGGAAAAATCAAGGAGGGGGGGCGGGGGGTACAAAACGTTTTACTTTCTGGAAAATTTAAACAGTGTTTTAACTTATCTTAGAATTGTCGTAAAACGCTGATTTTTTTCATGTGAACTAAAAATTATGTATTGTAACTGCAAAATTCAAATTTATAAAATCTGAGCAAAAATTGCACGCGCGCTTTTTGGAGGAAAATGTCACTTTTTCGCATTTTTGCAATCTTGACACCATGAAATGAACTTGAATTTGCTTCAAAACGCTTTCTAACATGTAATCCCTTAACAGTTTTGCGCAAAAAGCCTTAAATCCCCGCGCGTGCGCGCAATTTAGGAAAATATTTGAGATTCTTAATTTTGTCAATTTCGGCATTATTCAAAACAAAGGTAGCAATGTGACATCTGGCTACTAGCTCGCCGATCAGAACGCTTCAACATCTGTTACATACATGTTTTCCAGCATCTTGAAGAAAATTGAAGTTCATTTCATTAGTGTCAAGATTGTAAAAATGCTAAAAAAGTAACATTTTCCACTAAAAAAGCGCGTCCACACTTCTCCTCTGATTTTTATAAAACTGAATTTTGCATTTACAATTCACGATTTTGAGTTTTGGAAAAAATCAGTGTTCTACGACAATTCTAAGTTAAGTATTCAAGAGCCGTCTCTTTTTAGTTTCAGTAAAATGCCGTATGCCGTTTTACTTCATCGGTGTATTAAAGGCATTAGTTTATTATAGTTTCTATGTACATCTAGGATCCACTGTGAATGAAAAAATAAGTAGATTGTTAGAAGGACATTTTATCATTTAAAAAAAAATTACAGAGTTTATATTAACTTTTTTTTCAGGAGCTTGTTCCATATCTCGGGTTCATCCTGGAAACTCTAGTGTTTGCATTCAACAAGTACCAACATAAGAACCTTCTTATCCTCTACGATGCTATAGGTAGGTAGCTTGGATATATGTAGGTAACTTTTTCAAAAAATGTTGGAAAAAACACCATACAGGAGAGTTGCACAAAAAAGTTCAATTTTACTCCGCCAATCACACTTTCTTTGACTCACCTTGTGTATTTGTAGCTTGGATATATTTAGGTAGTTTGGATATATGTAGGTAGCTTGGATATAGGTAGGTAGCTTGGATATATGTAGGTAGCTTGGATATAGGTAGGTAGCTTGGATATATTTAGGTAGTTTGGATATATGTAAGTAGCTTGGATTTATGTAGGTAGCTTGGATATGGGTAGGTAGTTTGGATATATGTAGGTAGTTTTGATATAGGTAGGTAGCTTGGATATAGGTAGGTAGCTTGGATATATGTAGGTAGCTTGGATATAGGTAGGTAGTTTGGATAAAGGTAGGTAACTTGGATGGATATAGGTAGGTAGCTTGGATATAGGTAGGTAGTTTGGATATATGTAGGTAGTTTAGATATAGGTTACGTAGGCAGCTTGGATGTAGGTTGGTAGCTTGGATATAGGCAGGTAGTTTGGATATATGTAGGTAGCTTGGATATAGGTAGGCAGTTTGGATATAGATAGGTAGTTTGGATGCATATAGGCAGCTTGGATGTAGGTTGGTAGCTTGGATATAAGTAGGTAGCTTGGAAATATGGAGGTAGCTTGGATATTGGTAGACAGCTAGGATATAGGTAGGTGATTTAGTATAGTCACTTCAATTTTGGTGTGTGGGTGTAGGACGTCCCTAAAAGCATGATTTGATTTAATTTGATTTGATAGGTAGGTACCTAGGATATATGTAGGTACCTATTATATGTAGAGGTAGCTAGGATATAGGTAGTAACTGGGATAGAGGTATTTAGTATGGATATAGTTTGGAAGCTAGGATATATGTAGGCAGCTAGGAAATAGCTAGATGTTTGATATAGGTAGGTAGCAAGGATATATGTAGACAACAAAGATATAGGTAGATACCTGGGATATATATGTAGGTTGCTAGGATATATGAAGGTTGCTAGGACAGGTAGGTAGCTAGGTTAGGTAGGTAGCTAGGATATAGGTAGGTTGCTAGGATATAGGTAGGTTGCTAGGATATGGGTAGGTTGCTATGATATAGGGAGATAGGTAGGATATAAGTAGGTTGCTATGATATAGGTAGATACTCAGGATATAGGTAGGTAGCTGAGATATAGGTAGGCTGCTTGGATATAGGTAGATATGTTGGTTGCTATGATATAAGTAGTTCACAGGGTTCCTCCCAGGATTTTTGTGGCAGGTCAGGTTAAATGAAAATGTGGCAGATTTTCTTAGTGACAGAAATTTTACCCCACCCTCCACCCTTAATCTCACAGATAATGAATTACTGGTTGTAAGTGGGGNGAAATAGGTTGGTTGCTAGGATACATGCAGCTTGCTAGGATATAGGTAGGCAGCTAGGATATAGATTGGTAGCTTAGATATGGATAGGTTGCTAGGATATAAGTAAGGTAGCTTGGATAGAGGTAGGTTGCTAGGATAAAGGCAGGTAGCTTGGATATAGGCAGGCTGCTAGAATATAGGTAGGTACCTAGGCAAGGGCCTAGAATAATGGTATCTTAGGTCATCAATCCCATTTATATATTGTGTACTAGGTACACTGGCGGATAGTGTTGGAGTACACTTGAATAAACCTGAGTACATCAACCTGATAATGCCTCCTCTCATTCAAAAGTGGAATGTTTTAAAGGTAATCTACAGATCGTTCTTAATGATATTGGATTATCTCGAAGTTTTAACGCCAAATTATGCAAATAATACTGGAACACCCTTGTATTTCAGCAAGCAAATTTTTAAGTTAAAAACAATCTAAAATGATTAATTTATCTCAAATTGTCTAATTAGTCCCTAAAATCGTAATTTAGAGCCATTAACGATCCAATATGACGTGGGACCTGTTTGATACATAGAAATTAGAATAAGTTTTTCCTTTTAAAATTGTTTAAAAAGTTTCCAAACAGTACTTGGAAATATATTTTTTTAAAAGAGTATATAGGCTTTAACTTTGATTAAATAAAATTGTGTTAAAATGAACGAAAAGATTTTAAGAGACATGTACGTGGTAAATTCATAATTATGAGGATTGTGCGCGCTCCTCCATGTTTCATCATGCGTCCTTCTCGAATTTCTCCAACTATGAACTTCTCCTGTGGTCGAGTCGTCTTCCCTAAATAGTTCAGAATTTACACTTTTTTAATCCGGATCTGTGGATCCGCATATTTTTGCGGGTCCGTATCCAGAAAGCTAAAATCTTGCGGATCTTAAGCACTGATTGCTCCTACTTAAAAAAAAAAAAAACCGACCCTCCTTTTTATGTTTGGAATCGTATTTGTTTTGTTTTGATGGAGGGAGAACTTTTAAGAGGTAAAAAATCTAACAAATCTTTTCCTGTCTTGAAACTGCTTGAAACCTCTATATACATATTTTCAAACATTGCAGCATCCTAAAATGGGATGAGTGTCGTAGTTCAAGAGTTGCATTATAACTATTTTTCAATCTAAACTAAATGTTTATATATATATAGTAAGAGAAAAAGTCACAACAACGTTTTAAATCCTTTTAACAATAACAGTAGCTTATATCGATCTTGACTGTAGTTTAAAATAAACATCCTTTTCAAGAATTATAACGGCACCTTGGTGCGAGGAGCAAGAAGTTGAGATATCCTTGTTTTTTCATGAAAGTTTTCGAATTCGAGTTTCCTTACGATTTAAAGCGATTTTCGGATTTATGCAGTTCTGAGTGCTGACGAGAAATGAGTTTATCTCTTTAAGAAAAATGAATAAATCCTAATTCTTACTCCGATCTAGGTTTTAAGGGTGAAACTTGAATATAAAACTTTATAAGGAGGGAGAGCACATAGATTCAGACTGCTTATGAGCAATCTCATCAATTTTTAAGACAAGGTCGACTTTGAAGTGTCGCAACGCCTTGGGCTTTGATTTTACTGCTCTAACTCACTCATGCTTTTCTGTATCCCTTTACAATTTACATTATAGCAATTGCTGTAAGCTTTGGTTGTTAAGAAGTTATTGGCAAAATTCTTATCGACTTTTGCTTAAAGAGTGTGAGACCTTTAAATCACAGTGAGAGGAAGGCCGGTGGGGGGGGGGG